TGCAAACGATGTGCGATAACGATAAGGGTCGGATTCCTTTCACCCATCTGCGAGCGGATAGAGCGCTGGATCAACTGATCTGTGCCGTGATCCATAGCCGATGTCGCTTCATCCATCACCAGCACAGCTGGGTCTGACAGCATCGCTCTCGCAAGGCAAAGAATCTGGCGTTCACCACAAGACAGGTTGGATCCCCCATCGGACACCAATGCGTGTAGCGTCTCAGGACTCTCCCAGGAGACGCGCTTAAGTGCCCGGGTCAGCGCATCATCGGAATACTGGTCAAATGGATCCAGGTTGGATCGCACGGTGCCCGTGAAAAGGATTGGGTTTTGCGGGATCATCGCAAGTCGTCGACGCAGATGATGCAATTTAATCGTACTTATATCAATACCATCAATCAAAATGGCCCCCTCGCGTGCCTCTAGGCAGCGGAGGAGGGCCAGTGCCAGCGAGGATTTGCCTGCCCCAGTCCGTCCCACGACTCCAATACGTTGTCCGGGTTCCACGGCAAAGGTAATATTGTGAAGAACTGGAGAGGCCTCCGGCGAGTAGGCCACAGTCAGGCTCCTGACGCACAATCGCCCCTCTGCGGGCCACCCGTCAGGAGCATTTCCACCGCCACTGGGTTCTGTCGGTACCTCAGTATACTCCATGGCTCTTTCCACAGCACTGAAGTCCATCTCGGCGGTCGCATACGTCCGACTGAGCATGACCAGTGCATGGCACAGGTGGTTGGTAAAAACCAGGGCAAACCCAGCGAAAGAGCCGGTGATTGAAGGGCTCCGAACAACGAAGAAAAGCGTAAATAATGAGAAGAGCGTGCCCAACACATTGATACGAAAGGTCAGCCATCGGTTGAGCAGATATAAATACCAAGAAGTCTTAGCCTGTTGGTCGATCTTTGCATGCATCATGCTGGTATAGTCTTCCGTCCGGCAGAATGCATGGATTGTGCTAAGCCCGTGCGAGGACATGTTGAAGTGTTCATATACAATACCCCTAGTGGCTGCCTCGAGGTGTTTAATCTCACAGACCGCCACGACGTATCGCTTAGTATACCAGATGACTGCGCAGAGAAGGACCGCAGCGATGATTGTCAGCGCTGGACAAACCAAGATTGCACCCATGATCACACCAACACAATCCATGGCAGCACTGAAGAGACCGATCAGATCAAGTCCCAGTCGCGAGTCAATGAGATAAAAGTCTGAAGCGAACAGATTGATCAAACTCCCCGTAGGTACAGATTCTAGCCACTGGATCTGTGCTCGTAGGAGGGCATGGATTGTTTGGTGGAATAGCTCCCTGGCGGCTTGGAGCGACACATCAAACACCAAGTAGGATCGCAATGTTCCCAGGACACATGCGGTACACGCAATGATGATATAGCCAAGCGTGTAATATCCCATTCTCCTAGCATCTGGTTTGGTCGAGGATCCGCTTTCGGTCCACAGGCGCACCCAGGAGTACTAGGTTTTTAGCATTAGTGTATTGATGATAATGGCAATTCAAGAGCAGAGAGGTACGGGTACATACCAAGACAAGAAGAAGACCGTTATAGGAAATATAGCACCCGGCTACGACAGCCCACGGCCTCCAGCCACCGCTGGTTTGAATGTACTGTCGTAAAATGCCCCGTCGAACTAGATTCTTTCGTGATCGGTCGTCTTCCCCCAAAGCAAAACTTGCGTTCTCTGTGGTAATATCCCCCGCCATTAATGGGTCGTTTGTATGTGTTGCTGGCGTTGAATTGGCTGTCTGTATCTGGTGTTTGTCTCCATGACCTGGTGAATCATCATTCCCCTCGGGGGGTTCGTCCACCCCCTGGGATGGGGTTCCTGCGAAAGCAACTGTCCCATTATCGAGAGAGACAAGATATTTGGTCTTCGGGGCACAGAGCTGAACATGGTGCGTTACCAAAATTCGCGTTCGGCCTTCGGCGAGGTCACCCGTTAAGGCATGCCTGAAGATATGCCGCGCGGTGTGAATATCCACAGCACTGAAAATATCATCTAGGAGCAGGATCCCGGCTCGTGAATACAAGGCTCGAGCAAGTGCAACACGTGCTTTTTGTCCCCCACTCAACTTACACCCATTGGACCCGATATCCGTGAGATCGCCGTGCTCCAGGTGCTCCAGGTCTTGGGTCAACGCGCAGGCATGCAACACGGATCGGTATCGTCCGGGCTCCAGAGGGAGGCCGAAGAGAATATTTTGACGTATCGTGGCAGCCTCATGCCATGGAAGTTGGGGGACGAATGCAACGGCATGGTCAATCACCCACCTCTGCTGTGTAGTGGCTGCCTCTCCGTATATCTCATCGTATGACGCTGGTATCGGACGTCGCAGAATCCCGGACTGTATGCGGCACTCTCCCAGAATCGTTCGTAGCATCAGGCTCTTGCCCATGCCCGTGGCACCCGTGATAATGCTTAACTCCTTTGGTGGGAAACTTGTTGTTACGTCGCGCAAGCTCCCTGGGCCTTGAGCTCCTTCCGAGCTTTCATAACCTATCGTGGCGCCGTGAAACTCTATACGCTCCCCTGACATGATGGTTGATGGCATCTTCTCAGGTTGAAGAAAGCTGCCCATCCGCCGTAAGCTGATCCTGGCGCCAACAATCCCCGACCAAAGGTCAGGAATGAGCCCCAGGATGAATTGGATGTATCCCAGCAGGGACAAGGCGGGAAACGCCACAGAAGGGGTCAGACTCCCATGTATCCACGTATATATCCCTATCGCCGTCGCGGAGACCAAGACCGGTCCGACTAGATGGCAAGCCAAATTCATTAAATACCAGTGGAAAGCCGTGCGGTGTTCCTGCAGTCCTCGTTCCAGAAGCTGATTGATTTTAGCTTCCCACTTGCGTTCCAGTGCGGCGATCTTGACCTGCCGAATACATTGTAGGGCCTCGGTCAGTGCAGCCATTTTACTATCCCGAAGGCCCGTCAAGGCGCGCTCCGCTGCGCCATACCTCTGCAGACAGATCCGGTGCAACGGCGTAATGACCAGCAGAGTGGAAAGTCCGGCCAGCAAACTTTGCCATCCCAGTAGATGTGCCAGTAGGGTACTCGCGACGATGAGTTTCATTGCCTGTAGGACGTTCGAATAGAGAAACCCTGCCACGGTCGCAATGCGCTGTGTATCCATAGAGATCAAGTTTGTGAGGTTTTGCTCGCTGAGACGATCCCCAGCCAGTTGAGAGTGACTGATGGCTTTGTTGTACAAAATCGCCGTCAGTTGCTGCGTCAAGGGAACCGAGATCTTGTTCATGGCCAGCCACAACAGCCAGTTCTCGAGCCACGCCGAGAATCCAATCGTGAGGCCACAAACCAATGCCCACCCCGCCAGGGACGCCGTCTCGGATTGTCTCGCTGATTGTTCTTCGAGCAACTGTAGCATCCTCCACAATGCTAACTGTGGTGTAAACGCTAGCAGAGCCAGTGGAAGAGAAAGAATAATCTGATTTCGCAGGCACTTGCCATGTGAAAGGAGCAATAGCCTGAATAAGGACTTTTCATCCCAGCGAGGTGATGCACCTTTGCACGCGGCTTGGAAAAATTCTTCCTGCAGAGTCCCTGCTCGTGTCCGATCATCCAGCTCCGGCAGGTCATCCAAGGTGACGCGACGTCGGGCTTCGGCCAAGGCGACCAATTCGCTCACCCAATGGAAAGAGAGACGCCCCAGAACGGAGGATGAACCTTCGCCATCAATTGCCTTTCCGTCCCGGAATATACGGGACCGTCGCGGCAGCGACAGAATGATCAGGATTGATATTCCCATGATGCCTTGGTTCATCTTCGCCATCACAAGGAGCGCCTCCGTCGATTTCTCGAACTCCTCGCTTGTGCCCTGCTCCACTATTAAGAGTAGTGCTGCTACGACGCAGCTCAGGCATCCTCTCAACCCAATCAAATATCTTGCAGTAGATACTGACTCGGTCACAAGCGTGGTATGGTGGATCAACATGACGATCTTACAGCGGTCAGTACAGACCACAAGTTAACGGAGTTCTAGACTCACCCAGGTCATCAACTGCAGCCAGCGTTCAAGGAGGAACCCATTATTCGCGGGCATAGCAACCCGGAGGATGGCGATGAAGCAACCACACGTCATGCCTGCCAACAGAAACCAGATTCGCTGGACCGGTTGTCGCGTAGGTCTTCCATCCTTCTCGACATATCCGTGGCCCCCATCACGCGTGCTACTCACCAGGGTCAAGAGACCTGCGGTGACCTGGCGAAGAGCAGGAAAGCTCAATTGCAGCACCAATCCTGCCCCAATAATATGGACAAACAGCGATAGTTCTTTGACCCCAGTCATCCTGACATGTCGCACCACCCATGTATTCGATAGCGATGTTATAAATGCTACTGCTCCCGCCGTGTCAACATGCCGCTAACCGCGCGTGGCGAAAGGGATTTAATACGAGAATCCTTCTTGGCAACGTATTAGTAGAATCACAAAAAAAAAAAAAACAACGCGGGTAAAAAGGGAACCAACAAGGGAAAAATAATAATAATAATAATAATAATAATCAATCAATCAATCAACCAATCAATAAACCAAAGAAAAATAAAGGAGAATAAACGAACAAGTACCGTGAGTGAGGATAGGAGTTCAATTGGTCAAAAAGAATTCCCCAAAAATCCCCAGTCTGAAGTCGGGGCATTACGGATCTTTTAAGTCTCTTCGTGCAGGCAGCTTTATGCGTACGATGTCTAGTTGGTGTAGGATATTCTTTCTGGTTGGCATGATGTCTTGCAGCCTGTCTCCACCATCGATAACCTCGGTATTGCTCCAATGACTCTCAACCTTCGGAATCATCGTTGTTGCCAACATCGCACTCGGACCAACATGATATATATATTTGCGAATCAGTTCACCCTGACTGAATGAACCACACAAATAAATACTACAAGTAGTCCTCATATAAATACAAAGTAGTTTCGGACTTGAAGAGTTCAAAGAGACAGGACAGCGTTCCCTCATCATCCTTACCTATCCTCCCCATTTGCTAGATTCGCCAGTTGGATTGAAGACAAACATAGAATCATCCTCGTCCTCAATTTTATAAAGGATGCAGACGCCGAGGAGATAGTAGGATTTCCAGGGACCGGTTCCAACGGACCATTGGTTGCTTTGCATCCACTCCCATAGTCAACCTTCACGCGACACCCGTCAGAAAACCAGGCCGATCCACACTTCGCACAATCACCGCCCGTCTCTTGGTGTATATGATCATAGGCCCTAAGTCCGGATATCAGTATAAGCCCATTCAAGAGGAGATAGGTCCTCAACTCACACGGCGATTTCCCTCCCTTTCATCTCGCAATCTTTTGCTTCGATAAAGACACCGCAGCCATAACCGGCATTCTTGCCATCCGTATAGCACTCACCCTCAGTATTCCTGCATGTCATCATCATCAGCACAGTGCATAGTAGGAGACTAGGTGTGGTTGGAGCGGTGGGTGGTACTGGTAAGTGATATCATCCTTCAAGAATGACTTGGCCATATCACAGAACGATCGCAGGTTAGCGAAGGTTTTGCATCGGTCCGATCCCTCACAATCATACGAGGTTTCAGATGCGGTCGGGCTAGTTGTTGTAGAGGTCGATGTGGTAGCTTCACTAGTTGATGCTGTTGAGGTAGATGTCAACCGGGGCATAACAATCGCATCATATGAAGCCAGTCTGCTCAAGATACTTGACTGTATCGATGACCATTTGGCGCTGTCTGCAGATGGTGCAGGAAATAAACCTTCCATCTGGGTTGTAATGGACCCGTCACTGGAGATAGTGGTAGTGGTGGTAGTGGCTTGGGCGGAACAAGCTTTGATGGTCGCGCAATGGGTCGACGTAGTGGTGGTGAGGGTGCTGGCAGGAGTGAGGAGGGAGCTGCCCACATACTTCCTCCTCTTCCTCCTGTTCTTCCTCCTGCTCCATCCCCTCTTCCTGTCCCTGCTGCCCCTCCTGCGGCTGTATATTGCCCCCTCCACCCCCTCCACCGAGGGCTCCAATTGGCTGCCACGGGCCATCTTCGTGATCATAGGTCATTGTGGCCGCCCGGCCAACAAGGTGGTTTGGGTAATAGTTGCCCACAGCCCGGGGTTGCGGCGCACCAAGGTGAGCGCATTTGCTGTTTATTCCCTGTCTTCGTTGACATTGGATAAACGGACCTTGTGCCGAGCATCCGCAAGAGTACTCTTCCCTCAGATAGAAATACCTCCGATATATAAGACAGTCTGCAGAGAGGATAGTGTTTGTCCGAACTTTTCAAATTTGCGTTGCTATTCTGGGTTAATTCTCTCAATTGAGTGTTCCATAGGTATACAACTTACAAGTGTTATAATATAAATTTTTGCAGAGAAGCATAGTGACTATAATATCTTACACGAATTGTATTTAATATAGGCCTTCGTAGATAGATTGTACCTTCCATATTCTGTGGAATGCAAATAGTTTATTAAAAGAGGCAGCCGCGAACATGGACACTGCCATCGGACACCCAATTTGTGGGTACGAGTACAAGTAAGATTAACCGAAGAAGGAAGGTAAGCCTTGGTATCCTGTTGACCCTGTTATCGGTACAGTGTCTGGCACAGCTTTCTCCGAGTCGCACCCATCACCATCCTCACCACCCCCGGGACTGCATCCCTCACCCCTGCAGATCCCGAATTGACAATTGGGCCCCGTGCAAGTTACCTCGCTGCAATGAGGCCCCGTGCAAGTGTGACTGGAGCTTTGACAGGCAGGTCCTATACATCCAAATGAAAAGCAGTTGAGCCCAAAGCATCCTCCGTTGCCACCACAGTGGGGCCCAACGCATCCAGAGGCCTTGCACTTGGAACCAGAACAATTGCCATCCGGGTCACAGTCCTCGCCGCTGCAAGCAGTGACCCAACATTTGGGCCCAGTACATATCCCACTATAGCAGTCGTCACCTTTGCACCCGATATAGGCGCAGAGAGATCCAGTGCAACTACCATTATGACAATCTGGCCCACGACAGCCGGGCTTTGTTGGGGGATCCGGATCGTCCGGATCATAGAAGTCACTGCCCCCACCACTGCAGTCACGCTCGCAGACACCCTCGCAAAATATATGACATTTATGACCACACCCCGTAAGACACGTGGGACTGGGAGGGCCCTCGATGAACGTGAGTGTAGGAAGACTCTCCTCCGAGGGATGGGTTATGGTAGACCAAGGGAATGGCGGGGGTGTAATTCCACGAGACCTAGCTGCTTCGGGGGAGTTCGTGATGTAGAAGGGAGGGGGTAGGATGCTGCTTTGTAAGGTGAAGGTTGTCTTACTAGTGGAGCTGGTGAGATTGAGATTCCACCAATCGATCTTGTCAGTCGTCACCGGAGGAATGGTAAGCGTGGTGGTCGTGAGATTGCGTAGATACTCCGTAGAGGTTGTTACGGTACCATCGTCGAGGGTGGTAATGGTGGTGGTAGGCCAAGCAATTTCAAGAGAGGTAGTATAGGGAGGAAAAACGATAGTAGTGGGGGTGGGCAAGGTAGATGGCGGAAAGATCAAATTGCAAGGAGGCACACAATTTACCGTGCTGTTTCCTTCGTAGATTTCGGGGCCAATATAGACGTCCCCGGAACCACTGTCACTGCCATCTGGCCGAACGCCTCCCATTCCAGCATTTGGATCAAGATTGGCCGGGGCTGACATAGTGCCTAGGCCTCCTAAATCCAGCGCCCAGGCCAAAGTTCCCGCAAGACACAGTGAATTAGCCATCTCACGTTTTGGTATGAGTGTTACGGCATTGTCGAAAGAGACCCTGAGAAGGAAATAAGCTCTTTTGCATTGGCAACCTGCCAGAAGGAAAACTTACCACTGATTGGAGTTCCAGGTGATCCAGTTAACTCCGGCCTCTTCGTCGTGGATCACATCTGGAGAATAGGCATCAATAACTCGAGAGATTTCATAGTTGGACAGCATTCCACTAGTTCCAGTACACTTCCCTGGGTCTGCGCCACCAGAGGTGGTTCCTAGTCCGGTTTCATTAATAAAGGGACACCCGGGAATGTTGCAGGAAGGGTCCTTCAGGGTAAAGGATCGGCCATAAAAGCCAAGGCCCAAGACCACCTTAGCAGGGTCAAGGTCGTTGCGCCACAGCAAGTCAAGTCCGGCAGAGATCTCTATTTCAGGCTACAATTAGCCATGATGTTGCATGGCATATCCCAGGGATGAAGATGAGTGGGGCCTTACCGGTCAAGTTGGCATGAGGTGGGAGCAGAACGGTCTTGACTCTATCACATTCTATCAGAGCTGGTTAGAATCTTTCACAGGCGAGCATCTCAGTACTTTCCAACCAAGTCCTTTCCCTACAATGGGTTATCATGTTGATCGGCTCAAGTTAGATATCCTCGGTTTTAGTCTAATTCACCAATGACGTTTAGAGAGGGACACTATAGTATAAGTATCCTTCGTCCTAGTATTCATAATAACAATGTTCTACCTCTCTGGCTAACATCTGTGGGGTTCTTATACAGTTGATGTACCATTTCCCGGCGGCCTTAACGATGCAGCTTATGGATGGGGCCCAGTTACCTCCCTCAGTGAAAGTGAAGAGGCCCTGACAAATGCAGGTAAGTCTTTTGTAGATGTCTCCACGTTCCTATACAGCATGCTAAAAATAATCTAGACAGCTTTGCTTTCTATGTTGTGGGTATGTTGACGTAGACCCTTCTATTCTGGTTAACTTCATTGTCTAATTGTGCGTATCTGTACGGCCATGTATATGGATAAGAATGATTGGTCCACCGGCTACGCCGCAAGTTATGAAGATATGATGGCCTGGGTCAATGCAGAGTACGATGCATTGAACCCAGAAACAGAAGATGAGGACGATGACAACAACGATGTCTGATCGCATACTTAGGAATCGATCAAGAGGACTACATGGTGTCAGGAGAGCCCCAGGCTAGAATAGCTTGGATTGTCAATTGTAGCATAGTCTGTACTAAACTATCAGTAACATTAACTATATGTTTGCACAGATATCAAGAGTCTAGGTGCCTACATCACATCGTTATTCTGTACGCCACGCCAAAATATATTACGTCCATTCGGGGCAAGTTTCAACTGTGTTCAATTTCACCAAGGTCACATATCTCATTACATACTTGGTAGTCCATCGAAAAGACGATAAATACTCATCAGCCCGACAGATGCTAATGCCTGTTCGTATCGATCATTCTCGATCATCCGCTGCTGAGCCCGACAATCGACACGAACCTTGTCTACCTTCCCACGAGCCCCATCGGTCCAACGGCAACAGTACATATATCTGTGCGTCCCGCCAAAGATGATCCGGCCTTCAACTATCGGCTCCCACTCTGCTACCTTGATATCCAGTCCCGTGAATGGTACCCAAGCTCCTGGGGCGCTGTTGATGGAAGCATTGTGGCGACTCTTCGCATCAGCTATATACCGGAACGCCTTCTCTGCAACAGATAGATTAAGCCACGAGTCGACCAGATGAGGTGGATATGTAAAGTCGCCCGGGGGGGAATTTCGATGGGAAACAGGTATTGAGCTCCAATAGTGTCAGGCTAGGAAAGTAGGCTACCCCACTAAGGATATCATAGGACTAGGTAGCGGCGTTGAAGTCAGTTAGAGACACGAGCTATTACCGAATATATTTGGGAAGGCTGCATGGAATTACCAGTACTTCCTTGAAACGCAGGTCAATACCCAACCGCTCGAGTATTGGGAGCTTCACTGCCATGCCCCTCAAGATTTCCCTCCTCCATATCGATGTGTGTACTCACAGTTTCTACAATTAAACTCCAAATCTCGCCTGGGAGGCTGTCTATGTGATGGTTTCTTTCGTTGTAAGTCATATTTGGTTTACTGGGAGGTAACGGCGGTGCGACAGTTGGTCCAAGTGGAGGAATAGGACTGTCCGTCCAGGTAGGAGCGTAGGGGTGGTGGAAGCGTGAAACTAATTCATTTCATTTATACTAGGCTCTTGGCCCCACATATCTCATCCAGACATGCACACCGTGCAAGATTTTGGTACTCTGCCAGATACATGTCGTTTAACATATCACTCTAAAACAATGTATATACCCCCTATCATATATATATGTATAGCACAGTCGCATGATTATAGAGAAGAGACTACAATTTCCGAGTCATTGACAACACCTGCAGTGGCCAGACAGCCATGGTCTTCTTTTCGTACCAAATCATAGATCGTCGCTCCCTCAACCCCATGCTCCCCATATGGTGCCTCTGCAACACACCCCGCAAATCGGACCTGGTCAAACCCGACAAAAAGAACTGGGGAACCGTCGGTCTGAAAGCGTTCCACGACCCACTCGGCGCTCCAGCCTTTCGCTGTGGCGGTGCTCGTAGTTGCAAAGACTGTCCGAGTTGCGCTCTCCCCGGTGGTTAAATCTTCAATCATACAGACTCCCTCATCACTAGATGTTATATTGATAGAGACAACCACAACATTACCAGGGTTACTACCACAAAGCAGTTCAGGGCGACAGCTGTGGACGGATAGTTAAGCAGGACTCGTATATCACACTCGAAGACTTTGCGTCATGGAACCCGGCCATTGCCTCGTCGTGTGCTAACATGAAACTCGGGTACTACTACTGCGTGGCAACGACGAGTGTTCGCCCGATGCCCGGCACTGAGACAAGCACTTGCAACAAATGGCATCTCGTTGTGGACGGCGACGACTGCTGGTCAATTGAGCAGAAGTTCTCCATCTCTGCGGATCAATTCGGGGAATGGAACCCTAGGGTTGGAACTTCTTGCGCCACGTTGTGGTTAGGCTACTATGTTTGTGTGGGCGCGTAGGAGGAGGACCTGTTCGGTTGGCATCGACATAAAGGATCGAAAGATATTTTCAATCTGTCCTTTTCAAGCAGTGTATAGTTCCCATACGGGTAATACGCCATCCACCACAGGTGTGATAGATGAGCACAATGTGAACATATCTATGTCGCGCATGGTTTCCAAGTAACTAGGACTTACCGATGTAATCGGCCACCCAGCCGAACAAGACAACCGTCCTTTCGAGATCGGTCTCGCTTATTGAACCAAGCGCTCTGGATGCCCAATTGGACGTCTTAGCACCTACTATACGCCCATTCGTGTTTTATGTGTAATATTTACACGGGTAGGTACCTCCTTCCGTGAAATGAATAGAATAAAGTGCACTAAGTAGGCAGAAACGTACAAATATCACATAATTCACTGAGCATAAAGCAAATTGGGACTCTCAAAGGTCCTCGATACTGCTTGATACTTTGAGAAACGGAAACGTCAGACAAAGACTGAGCAATTAACATTTATGAAACGCGAAGACTCTTGACAATGTCGTCAGGGAGCTAATCACGACTGGACTTGATTCTAGATAAACCAATTTCCCTTGGCAGTCAATACAATGAGATCCACAAAAGGATGGGCTATTAGGCCACTGGAGCCTCCTATGTCATGAAATAAATCTTGCCCTGTGGAGTTCAGAACCACAATAATGAGAGATATTGGCTCACTGGTCGACAGACCCTCAGGTTACTTGGGTACCTACACTTCTCTTGTAATCCACAACCATTAATCAAAGTACTCCGTGCAACCGGCCCTCCTCCCTTGTTCGATCGACTGAAATATTATCTGATTGTCAGATTGAACCAAATGGATGCTGATCAAAGAACCACTCTGTTGATTCCTCACTCTTCCCCTCATTCTTCCTCGGCTAGTCCTTCGCGGACTGTTAGTACTCTTAGTAGCGTCGTACGAAACCCGTGGAGATAAGTAGTGTTCTATTTTACAGTCGACAGGAACCTCTCAAGTTAGCTTTCTAGTGTACTTTATATCTTACTGTTCACTGCGTTTCTACGATGGGTGTGGAGTTATATGTAGTGGCCTAATGGAGGAGGCCTGCCCCTGTCGCTCTACGATCCACTCCAAAACCAGCAATAATTGAGAGCTTTCCCATCATCTCCGTCAGTTGGCATGGCTACTTTCCAGGGTACAGAGAGAGGGTCTGAATCCATTGGTCTCTTGCCTAGGGGAGGTGCTAGCAAGGGTAAGGACTCTGAACTTTTGTAAACTGCAGCTCTGCCCACTTTGCCCCACATGCCTTAGGGCTGGTCTGGGGAAAATCACTGTCCTGTGGCTTTTCTCCGTAGGAACAGAAACACTGGTCCGTGCAGTTTAGTTGGAAGATAAAACCAAATACAGCTGGATAGTGATGGACAGACTTAGAGAACAACCAATACGTAAAAACACATTTTGCAAGATTAACCTCAGTCTTGACCTGATGTTGTATAATCCTTTTTCTTCTGGGAGAAAGTGACATGTCTCTGACACGGGCAGGGTAGATACCTACCTTTGAGCCATTATACCAAGTGGGTTCGCACGAATCGAATACCTGGCTTTAGTCGAGATGGAGACGAAGCCAATTTAATCCCATGGTAAATGGCAAGAAGTCAGCAAGACCCGTCTATACTGTCCCTGAACGGCCTTCTCCAGACTCTGTAGCTCGCATAGCGATATTTCAAATGACCTAGACTTTACCTTCGAGACGGAGCGCAGCTTGGTGATGTACATCTTGTACACAAGAGTACCTCAGGTAAAAGTGACAGTATCGTGCGTGACTTTCCTCATTGACAGCGTATCTTACACTCAAATGTAGAGCCCTTGTGGTCCAGGACTAACAGATAATAATTTAGTGTCTATTCTATAAGCCAGATACACCCCTTGGCACTAATATATCTTATGCACGCTGTGTATACGAATCGATGTGAATGATCCTTACGAGATCGGTTGTATTCGTAGATATCAGCGACCAATGTCATTATATACTGGGCACCACACGCCAACATAGAAGCAATGATGAAAGGCTGCCCTGAGATTCATAAGCTCGACTAGCATTAAACCTCTGGCCGGTACACCTGCAACACATCATGCAGCTGGATGACGAAAGTGATCCACATCAACGCACACCCAGCGGCATCACCACCGGCAGCGCTCCAAGTAGTATTATTGCACCACTGGCCCATGCGGTTGCGATAGGCCACAGCGCGGTCGTAGTTAGACTCGCTGGTCGAAAAATGGATATTTTTCCACTCCCTCCAGTTGCGCCCCTCGTAATGCCCACCATTACCATATTTCAAGTCGAATCCGTATTTCGAGTTGAGCCCTCGAATGATTTCTTGCCACTCCGTCCACTCCACATCTCCCGCCAATTTGGCCAGAGCAGTCTCGACCTCCTGTTTCAAGTCTCGTAAACGCGCGGTATCCAACTCCTTTAGAAAGTCCAGATGAATAAGCCCGGCATACCCGAGGAAACTCGCTCTCTTATTTTCTTCCACATATTTAGCATGCAATTCTTTGGACTGCTTCAGCTGGTATTCCAAATTCTCGAGATCCGCAACACGCTCCTCTGTGATCTTGAGGAGCGCTTTCTGCTCCTGCTCCAACTCCTTGACCTTGGCCTCTAATTCCTTCACTTCCGGGCTTTTGTAGGGAAGCTCGGATTCACTGCCGGATTCACCTTCTGTCTTCACAATGTCGGCTGAAAACTGTTCCCTCAACGCCCGGATAGAAGGGGTGAAGAAGTATTCACCACCTCTTTGATCGACCCATGGAGTATGACTCAGACCAAGCTTCACGGCTGCACCCGGGTTGCCTCCATCGTGCAAACTGATGTAACCGTCCGGATGGTCCGCACGGAGCTTTTGGTTGATGAATGGGTCCATACCAGGACCGTCAGGGCAGACCTCAGCCTTATCCTCCGGGAAACCGTGATTACTGGCCCAGCCTGTATGAAAATCAGCATCTGAGCGAATATGGAAGAAGCATCGAATGCCAGGGCTTAACCTACGTGTCATGAGAAAGTTGAAGCCATCCCGGATAAGACTCTGGTAGCACGTAAAGTAGATCCCGCGTTGTTCAATCGTCTTGCCGGTGCTAATTTCTTCCTCGGTCAGTTCGGGACCAAAGGTGATACCCCGACGGAGGATGACGCTGGCATCCTCCTTTTGTCCTTCATCAAAATCTTCATCTTGCTCCTCGATTGAAAGGGGCAGCGTCTTATGGTTCTCATCGTCTTTTTCTGAACCAATATCTCGCTTCTTGTCAGCCCTGGGTCGCATCTTGCGGATGTGCGCCGCAAAAGGACAACCTTTGAGGTCCTTCTTGGGTCTAAAGTCGAAGTCGTTGTCAAACGCATATCTTGGCTCGTCCTGGTGGGGGGTTTTGGCGACGGGGGCTCCTGTACCATGGATCAGCTCTCGTCTAGGGGGGATTATTGCTTTCATATGAAGTCCATAGACGCACCGCTCTTCCATCGCCCCATCAGATGAGCACCCAGCTTCTCAGGATTTCCACCATAGTTTCCGGGGATTTCCTCGGCCATTGCTATAAGATCCTTTTGGAATTCCGGGACCTTTTGGTCGAGCTGACGGAAAACAAGGTAGCTACCCTCCTTAGCCCATTTGGGGCCTCTTCTCTTGTCGGGATCGCCCTCATGGCCGAGAAAGATATAGCTAGCCTTTGTTAGTAACCAGTGACAAATCAGACGGGTTTAACATACCCTGGGGGGCATGCCTGCGGTTCACCCGGGGCCGGAGGGTCATCCAAGCCATCAATCTTTGGCTGGGAGATGTGATCTTCGTAACCAAAACTACAGAATTAACATCGTTCGGATGTCAAATGGAATGGCGGAGGGGGACATACTGCTCTTTGCCACGGTTTGCACCCGGACGAACCCTACCATCCTTTCTGAACGCGATCCTCATACTGCTCGCTTCTGGATCACCAACATTGAAGGCATCTTCCAGGTCCATAATTCTGCGACGTAGAGCTTTAGAGTTATGGGCCGCGACGATGAACACACCATCCGTTCTCCACTTCCACCGCTCAAGCCCCGTCTTTGATTCATGCCCAGGAGGAGCCCTAAAGTTAGGATCCATCGCAGCAGGGTTATCGGCGCCTTCGTAGACGAGGTCATCAAACATTCCCTTCTCAAACAGACCCTCGTTGATCCGATCCGTACAAACCTCATCCGGATCATCCTCTAGGGCCTGGGCAAAGTTCACCTCCACCTCAGGATGTTCCACCTGGCAAGTTGGTCAAGGCTTTAGAATATGCAGCTTCAGCATAAGGGTATAAAACGCCTAGACTAACCTTGAGCAATCCTACGTGTGTGAATGCGACATTTACCGCCGTAAAGGGCTTCTTCTCCTGCTCGGGAACAGCACGACGAGAATGTGCGCATGCTTCTTCAAACTCCCCAATTGTCTTCAGGTGGTCCTCGCATTCACTACCGGTGGTGATGAATCCTCGATCCAGGATAGCTCTGAGATGCTGTCTGAATCTTTCCTTATCGGTGATCTTAAAGAAGAGGTAGGACTCATATTCTTTCGGGAGACGGGGCCAAATGCTCCCTTGGATGTTGTCCGTGTCGACGGTTCGGTTTGGCCTTTCGACAGGCATTGTGATCTCTGATTGTTAAGGACAAGTTATGCCAGCAGGGTCTGCTATACCTCCTCAGAACTTGGGGGAGGGAAGGCCTTTTTAAGCTTTCTCTACGACAGAAAGACTACACCGTTCACCACCAGTAAGATTCAAAGCTTAGTATTTAGGCCGAGGATAGTGCCTCTCTGACACACGCAGAATCCCTCACCAGGTTCAGCTCAGCCGCCCCTCCTTTGAGGTCCTCATCACCCCCTCCATTGTAAATAGCAACATCATCACACATCGTAGGCGAAAAGCAATCGGTAAACAATGGTCCATGATTTGTGGATCCTCGATCCAGATAGTGGGATAATCTTTCCGGTTCATTGGGCGCGGTGCTCCACCTCCTAAAATTGATCTGTCGTATGCGCGGAATGTTGATCCACTATTCTTCCTGCTGTGACGGGACTATCGAATGGCATCAAGGCGTCACTCCCCATGCGGTGAGGGCGAGAAGCAGTAGATGATTCTGCCGCTGATCTAGCTGACCCTGACGTCCCAGATTACACTAATCACAGCCCAAAGATTAGTAGTCAAGATCCATAATGTGGTGAGATCATCGTCAGCACAGACTGCGGCATTTCTTCAGCTGAACTGTGGGGACAGTGGAGGGTCCACCCTGACACGACCCAATTAGTATGTGCTCTGTTGATATATCTTGAAATCTCACCCCGACTTGGGAGGCTATCCTCACAATAATCACTTTGAACTAGGTCCAACCAGAAACAAAATAGACCTTTGCAACTCTCGGCTCGGCTCAATACGATCGCAAGCTACCCGGGTTGGAACCCTAATAGAGGGACCGAGCCGTCTGGACGGCGGGGCGGAGATCCACTGCAGTCGTGTGTGGCGTGTGATAGCTCCAGCTCCAATGTCAAATAGAACCATGATCGGCAGTGATCCTCGGGACTCAGGAAGGACGATCTCAATCTTGGCCCAAACACTACCGAGGAGGCAGGTTTACCGAGTGCTAGAGTTTGTTGTTGCTCTCTTCATATTTCACGTCTCGCGCCTCCGCGTGCCCAGTTGATTGCACGTGAGACAGCCCAAGTATAAGTAGTACGGCAATAAATTCTATATTTATTGGCTGGATTAAAGACTAGAATATCGCGAGTGATGTACGCACTATCAGGATATGAAATCTTCTGGATGATAGAGCGGCTTCGGATCAACGCCCGAGAAGTGCCACTAAAAATCCAATTCCCAGAGCTAGACATGATAAACCTGGCAGAAGAACCCATCCGTGGCGCGAGCTGAAAAACTCGATCGCCCTTCACCCCAAATCCACCGACGATCCCTTCTGTGTAAGCGAACTGGTGTTGGTGGCGAGCTGCGTCTCCACTTCCAGGCCAGCTGCGGACATTGGGATCGTGGTTGGTGACGTTTCGTCGCCGGCGATTATTTATAAGCCAATGGCTTTTCTCTTTTCATGTTTGCGACCAGTATCACAGCCCTCTCTTCGAAATGAAGTTTCAGTGGGCATCGGGTCTCCTTCTGGGGGCAGCCGCTGTCGACGCCTTCAAACCCGCGCAATTTTCTTATGAATCCTCTGAGGCCGAATATGTGGATATTGCCAAGTCTCTGACGGGCGAGATCAAGTACCAATCTCCTCCCGCCAATTCGAAGCTCGTCCCCAAATTCAATCCTGAAAATCCAGACGAAGATTGGGTGGTCAACTGCACCAGCCAGTACCGCGGCTACTACTGCGAGAATGCCATCGATGGACGGGAAGACCATTACTGGCTTAGCAACCCTGGTAAGGGGGAGACTTCTGAGATCGTCGTCGACCTCCGCAAGAAGTACCTCGTCTCCGGTCTGACCATGTTGCCTATACTGGATAAGAATGCCAAACGGCGCCAGATCGGTGAACACGAAATCTTTGTCTCGCAGGACAGCGAAACGTGGACCCGCGTTGCATACGGAACCTGGGGATCTAACAGGAGTCCCAAAATGTCCGCGTTTAACCCCAAGCTGGCTCAGTATGTCAAGCTTGTTTCCGACAGCAGATCCCGTTCCGATCTTTCACAGGACGAGGACGGACAGATCGCGATCGTCAACCTTGCCGTGTACTTTTACAACAAGGAGGACACTTACCCCGAAGACGATCCCAGTAAGGGTGTTTGGGGCCCCACGCTGGATCTCCCGATCGTCGCTGCATCTGGTGCGGTCGAACAACACGGAGATGTTATCATGTGGTCTGCCTGGGCGGACGACCAGTTCTTCGCCTCCCCCGGTGGTAAGACTCTGACTAGCACCATGACAAGTGACGGCAGCATCGATCAGGGTATGATCTTCGAAACCAAGCACGACATGTTCTGCCCCGGTACCTCCATGGACATCGATGGCAACATTGTTGTCAGTGGCGGTGCTGACTCCGGTCGCACCAGTATCTACAATGGCACCGCGTGGGTGACAGGCCCGACCATGGCAATTCCCCGGGGATACCAGTCGTCGACCACCCTGTCCGACGGTCGCATTTTCGTGATCGGAGGATCTTGGAGCGGTGGAGACAAGGTGGCCAAGAACGGCGAGGTCTACTTTCCCTATCCTGATGGGGATGCCAAGTGGGAAACACGTCCGGGCTGCGAGGTGGAACCCATGATGACTGACGACAAGAAGGGCCAATGGCGCGCGGATAATCACGGCTGGCTCTTTGGCTGGAAGAAGGAGAGTGTCTTCCAGGCAGGTCCCAGTAAGGAGATGCATTGGTACGATGTCGACGATGTCAGCCGGGATCGGTACGGCAATCGTCGGTATCGGGGTTCCGTGCACAGTGCTGGATTGCGTGGCAAAGACAAGGACTCCATGTCTGGGAGTGCCATCATGTACGATGCCACCAAGGGTAAGATCCTCACCTTTGGTGGTCAGCGTCACTACGATGGCTCTTACGCTTCCAAAAACGCCCATATCATCACCATTGGGGAGCCCTATCAACGACCCAGCGTCAAGGTGGCGGGTAAAGGTGGCGACCGTACAGCAGAAGGGGGAATGCGCCACGCGCGTGTTTTCCATACCTCTGCCGTCCTCCCTGATGGCAAGATCTTCATTGCCGGTGGCCAGACCTGGGGCCAGCCCTTCCATGAGGAAGACATTGTGTACACGCCTGAGCTCTATGACCCTGAGCAGGACACGTTTGTGGAGTTGAGCCGCAACAATATCAAGCGTGTCTACCACAGTATTTCTCTGCTGCTGCCAGATGCTACCGTTCTCAATGGTGGTGGTGGTCTTTGTGGCAACTGTTCTGCCAATCACTACGATGCCGAGATATTCAGTCCCCCCTACCTGTTCGACGACGAGGGCAACCGAGCTGTTCGTCCCAAGATCACGAACATGATCAATGGCAATGTGCTCACCGTGGGCGGGTCGGTTACCTTCCAGGCTGACTCTATCATTCAGTCTGCGTCCTTAGTCCGCGTGGGAACTACAACTCACACCGTCAATACCGATCAGCGTCGTGTTCCTCTCGACATTGCCGCCGCCGATAGTACCCACCAATACACCGCGAACCTTCCCAGTGATGCTGGTGTCATCCTTCCTGGGTGGTACATGTTGTTCGCCATGAATGACAAGGGCACTCCCAGTGTGGCTCAGATGGTGAAGGTTGAATTGCCCTTCCGTCCTGACTGGAAGATCAACCGGGACCCCAGGAAACAAGCAGAGGAACTTGGATCCGAGCATCCCGGAGATGCTCATGATTGCGACCATGAGGAAGAGGTCAAAGGAATCATTTCGGGTATGCTTTCTTCGTCCAGCCGATTCTGGAACACCTGGAAGCCTGCTCTGCTCAGCCAGGCATAATTGTCTTTAGAATGGATAGGGTTACTTGTGATGTAATTCCTGTACAATCTGTACTGTATCAATTGAATGTACCATGGTGGTTTTCCGTGTTTGTTGTGTACTATGATAAGCGTGCAACTCTTTATGTCCCAAGTCTATATTATTATACTCTCTAGGTCTTGTATATTTAATTATTCATGACGTACCTGTTTACACGGTTGCAATATTGGCACGACGCGGGAACCGCATCGCGTACGCAGTAACCGATAGCCATATATAACCCAGTTCTTTTCGTACACTTCCTGGTCCTTGTGCGGTATCGATCCAGGCTAGTGAAGGAGCTGACCGATTGAATTGTTGGGTCATCCACCATGGAATTGTCCCCAAATGGGGAACTTCCCAGGGAGATTCATATATATATTACTTCTAAGTACAACCAAGAATTGTTGCATAGTATGGTACTGCCAGACCAGTAGCCCAATCTGAGCGAACAATAGTTAGTTCTATACCTATATTCCGTTACAAGACCTGCTTTAATCCAGCACTACGGGTCAATGGTTTCGTATGAATGGTTACGCTATCATGCGCATTGACGAGATTGCTCCCTCTTGGACTCTGGACACCATCAACATCTATCTTCTAGCTCCTGCGCAGACACGACCCATGGAAATAACAAACACTCTCTCTTTAGCCTACCAAGTCGAGACTCAGATCGTGGGATGGGCTGACGAGTATCGTACTGTGAGATATAACCATGTTATTCCTGATAGTGACATTCTTTGCCAAGGGTAGGCGGGGTTCTATAGCGTTGTTATTTCACAGCGCGCAATTAGAGCTTGAGGCTTCTGCATTGGGCGTGTTATTTCCGACCGTAGACCGAATAGGCCTGGATAGTCTTTACGGTAACGAGGGAAGTAGTGATCAGTGTTTCTACGAGCGTGGGTGTTCATAGACTACGGTTGGCTTGACTATTAATCTGGAAGATATTCTGGATTTGAGACTAGTACTATACAGGAGATGGTCAAGTGGGCTTTCAATCAGAGAAAGTGTGCTCCGGAATGCCAAAGGTGCTAATAGTCCAGGTCTTTCCGCCGTCGCTGGTAGTCATGTCTCCTCCGGTGACTCCCTCTCCCTTGGCCAGAGTGTTGATATAGTTGGCATCGGCAACGTCAAGAATGATCTTGGTGTCGGTCCAGGCTGATGCATCTATTAGTCCTGAATTTCGCCTCTGGACGTTTTCAACTTACAGTGAGCGCCAACAGTACCACAGTTGTTCTCGGCACACTCAACGGAGCTGCCCCAGCCCTGGGCCTGTCCATCACTCGTGGAGAGCGTCGAGACGGTCTCGCCGTTGATCTGGACTGTCTGTGTGTAGTTTCCGCTGGCATCGTCGAATTTATCTGCACATGATTAGGGCAACGCACATTGGTATTTAAGGGAATCTGCCATTGCTTCCTTACAGTGCATCGTCACCTTGTCCCCCTCGCCACCATTTGCCTGGCCATCACCATACACCGGCATCTGTGAGGTGTCTGCCAAGGGTGTTAGCCGACATCAGCATCACCATGATCTTGAGGATACGAACCGCCGGTCTTCATGAGTGTGTAGGCATACATGGTCCAGTCATTCTGTTGCCAATTGTCGGCAATGGACTGGATCAAGTCACCGTTGGAGGTGCCCATTCCCACCCACAGGGAGGTGATGGCGTCCGTGGATCCTCCGCTGGGTCCTTTTGGCAGGAGAAGGGTCGAAGTAGATTCGCGGATGAACGAGTTGGACGCAACAGGGCCGGTACTAAGTGCGGGACCCATGGCGGCGTTCACCGATGTGATGCCGACGGTGGCAAGAGCCGCCAGAACCTGGTTGCGAGAATACATTGCGGTGGCCGTGCGCTGGGAGGTTTGTTGGTATGAAGTTCAGCTGAAGTTGCTGTGCAAACGAAGGAAGACAAGCCTGACAGGGACAGAATTCTTTATAGGCTGGGTATTCGGCATTCCCACTTATGCGTGATTCTGTGACAGCAGATCCCCTTAATAACCATGCTTGAACGGCACTGTTTTACATTCTCCACCAGTGGGGGAATGAGCCGCGGAGACGTTTCCTGTAGAAGACTTCGGAAAATATGGAACTTCGGCATAATTCCCATCAGACGGTAGTTGGAATCCGGAAGCTAAGCCTCGAGTTAATCTATTCGCGGTGGACCAGTGCCGCAGGTTCCTACGGAAATCCCCCCAGTCTTGACCCACACGCCCTCGACGTCCTATCGTTGGTCTCGGCCAGTCTCTGCAGAAGTGGCCGGATTATCCTCGAATCAGAATGTCATCGTCGATCACTGCCTAGATTAAAGGGGGGTTTTTAGCGTGGTATAATGAAGTCGAGACATGGGATGACGACCCGTACCGAATATTAACCGAAACATGCTTCAGTGCTGCAACGCTTCGGTCCCTTTCCCGTGTGGGACATGTCCAATAGTATTCTGTATAGGGCCAGCCAGTGAACTTGATACAGACGGTCTAGTATCACTGAGCGGAGCATTGTATGGTGCTTGGACCGCCTTATGTACCGTCTGACAATGAGGGCTAGTGAGCTTTTCGCCAGATGCTGCGCCTATGGACTCTTCCGCGAGCCCAAATTGCTGTCGTTGTCCAGCAGGATTAACCGCGCTGCCTAAGGCAATCAACCGGACCACCTGACCTGACAGTCAAAGATATCGCGGGACCGTCAAAAAATACACGTCCGAATAATCAAGAGCCGTACTACGGAGAAGCGATCTACCACAATCTGTCCAATGAGCAATCATGCACTCATGGGCAGTAAATCAATGTCTTTACTCCTACACTGGATCTGGGCCGGAACAATCTACGAGTAGACTAAGCGCCAAGGCAGCTCTCCCAATTCTTTCGAGCATCCGAGGCAATTGTTCGCAATGTGTCTCCTTGGGCACGTCGTGGAAGTTACTTTCATAACTTCCAAATGTAGTCAGGGTGACATGTCGCACCCACACTATAGTAAAGGAAGTCAAGGAAACCAGCGCAAGATAGATGATCACCTCATTGCTTGCCATGCGTTCCTCAAACCGTCGGGTGGGCTGCATGTGGCTTGCATCAGCCATTCTTCAGCTAGCCCCAGCCCCATCCCCGACAGCCATGATGTTCAGAATGTGCTAAAACAACGCAAGGCGTGACACTGATAGGGCCTCCAGGGCAAACCCTCGTGGACTGCTCCGAGGAGTCCCCAGATGCGATGGTTCCATGCCGGGGAGATCTGGCTGTGAAATAGTCTAACCTGGCCAAGGTATCGCCTGGGGTAAAGTTGCAAAGCTGGCCGTGTCCGGCCGGACTCGAGGAGCAAGAAAATGTTGAAGCTGGTGCGAATGCCGTGTGCCACCAGCGCTTTGGTGGAGCCCCGGGTGGGTAAATGCATCGAAGATATCAATATGTTTATGGAGGGCAATCCTGAACTTCTGTCGTACCATAAGGGATTGGGCTACGGGCATGGGAACTCACGAACCCCCCTCGCAGAGCCCGAGAGCTTGGGGGAGCAACCTTCTAGCTGGTCCGTGCCGTCGCCTTGCGACCCGTATTGCGTTCCTGACGATCACAAGCCTACCCTGAGCGGTCATTATGACTTGTCCCCCAACGAACACCAAGAACAAAACCCCAACTACTTTTTCGCCGGCATTTTCTAGCCGCTTCCCCCGTCATGCCCCTGTATTTGTCCTGTTCAGAACTCACACACAAGAGAGGCAGATTCTGGAAGCACAGGTGAATAAATGGGTGACTGGAGGACTGGGGACAAGATCGAGCCTGCGCGAAACATTCCCAAGGGTCGGGCACTGGGAATCTCACGCAGCTGAAGGCAGCACTTCGTATCTTCAGCGGGTCGTTTGGAATATCGCAGGGACGCTGGAGTTTGCGGGGGTTGTGATCTGTGGTAAAATGATTATGAAGGTGCGTTTGGGGCGGAAACCATAGCGACGGAATTGTTCTGATCGCGACACTCAGTCCTGTGCTTGAGGTCGAGACCTTGGAGGTCGTTCTCATTAACGAGAATCCACGGCGACGCGATGGAGGAATCACGTCACGTGCCGCTTATCTCAGCAGAAGATCAACCCTGCACGACAAGACCAACATAGCAACCACCATAACACCGTATAGATCCTGCAGTGGCCCTTCTTGAATGCAGTAGTATTATCGTGACGTGAAACTCGTTCGACGCCATGAGAAAAGGTTGGACCAACTAGTGAAGGGAGTCCCAATTGCGAATATTTCGGTGTTTGCTCGGCATCTCATGCCGAGAGATAACCGACGAATCCTAGATCGCCCGACCGGCTGGATGGGGGTTTTGGCAATCGAATATCACTTGCTCAATGGAAGCCCTAGTGACTCTGAGATCTGCATTGTCATCATAACCTTAATTTGCTAACATGATCGAGGCTGCAGTGTACAGCACATCCTGCCGGGCTGCAGGACCCGGGGTACGCGGTAGACCAGAGAACATAAGAATTGATCAAGAAAGTTAACGTCGAGATTCTAGTCTCTTATTCGCTTGATGGTCTCTAATGGGTTACTCTCTCAGTTGATGCTTCCGGGGAATCTTCGTCGTGCTGTAACAGGGATCCTCAACGTACCCTCAACGACAACTAGTGACTCACCGGTTGGTTCGCAAAGATGATGCGTCAATCAGGGGAGACTGTGGCTAGAACCTGGGGAGGAAGCGCCAGGACTACAGCCCAATTGCTCCTCACGCGCTCTGTGGACACATTCATGGGCACTTCCTGAGCTCGAGGCTGTAGTCGAACTCTAAGCCTGGCTGCGCAGTCCATGACTTATAAATACCGGGGCATCCTGTACTGGTAGGAAGGACAAAAAGACATCACTGGGCTTCAAATTGCCTACTACTCTATACATACCATTTGCATTGCACTTTATTCATCCCGCTGTCCTCTTTCTCATCTGCCAACCATGGCATCCCTGTTCTTAAATACCGCTTGCCCTAGCAGAACGTACCTAGCAGCTGGCAATTTAGCACAATTGCTTGGGAAGCACGTTCTAACACGGGCTTCCCCTGGGACAGTAGTGATGTCCGGAAGAAGACCCCAGAGCACCCAGTCTTCCCTCGTGACAAAGTCATCGTGGACGCATCCTGTGTAAGTCGAACTCTGTTCGTGGTATACCATCACTTGAACTAGCCAAGTCAATATGAGCTCGAGAGTTGCACTTCTCGTTCTGACCCCACACGCAGATATACGACATCCCAGCTTCATTCAATCCAGACGGCTCACCGCAACGCCCAAGACTGGTCGGATAAAATGGCTCTTGGAACTGTCCGGTTCCTACGATGGGGCATGGACTTGGTCACAGGATATAATCATCCATATCGACGTGATGTCAACTCCTCTCTGTTCCGAATGACCGAGAAGAAATGGATTACACGATTTATTTTCCTGGAGAGCGTTGCGGGCGTTCCCGGGATGGTAGCTGCTATGCTGCGACACCTAAAGAGTCTGAGGAGGATGAGGCGAGATTACGGATGGTATGTTGCGGCGAACCCTATTCCCCTGTGGAGGATACGTGTCTAACCTCTCCAATGCTATTGCGTAGGATCGAAACCCTCCTGGAAGAGGCCTATAATGAACGGATGCACCTTTTAACCTTCCTCAAATTATCCCAACCAGGCCCTGCCATGTACTTCATGGTCCTAGCATCACAGTGCGTCTTCTTTACAGGATTCTCTCTCGCCTACCTGGTTTCTCCCCGGATATGTCACCGATTTGTTGGTTACCTGGAGGAGGAAGCCGTGATCACCTATACCAAAGCAATCCAAGAGCTCGACAAGGGCAACCTGCCGCTTTGGAGCAATAAGGAGGCTCCCGCAATGGCAATCAAGTACTGGCAGATGCCCGAAGGCCAACGATCGATACGCTCTCTGTTACTGTGTGTACGTGCGGACGAGGCGAACCATCGGGATGTCAATCACACGCTTGGGAGTCTCGACCAGAATAGTGATCCTAATCCCTTCTCGGCCAAGTTTAAGAACGCGATCAAGGAGGCCAGCCAACCCTTGTCTCCCTTGAAAGATTATCGTTAAGGATTGTTCTGGAATTGCGCCTCGCATACATATGTTTCCCGGAGTTATTCACATTTTATAGAAGTATTTAGAGAAATAGAAAATATTAATTGCACGATTGAAGGTTTTCCATTCAATACCAGCCTAAACCAACTAGAGTTGTGAAACACCTACTATAAACCCACACTAAACCGGCGTGAAATCTCTCGTACTGCAAAGATTGATTTCTGTTATAGAGCCCAATCTATTTCAGCGGGCTAAGCGTAGCTTGTGAGATGTGCTCTATGATTCTCTTCACTAGCAGCTTACCTATTGCACTTAAACCTACTCAGTATTGCATATTGTACTATAAATCCTATGTGCTAAAGGTCCTAGTGGTGGTCTCGGATACTGATGACTGACCGAGGAGCGGTCAGCAAGGTAATAACCAACCTCAAGAAGAAATGCCAATATAGCAACCTGCCTCCGGCCAAGGAAAATAGGCAGGTCTCAAGGGGTCCACCTCCAGTTGGGATCCTTCCAGCCTCCTCCCAGATTCTGGGTCGCAACATCACGTGCAGTGAGTCGTACACCCTGTTCCTTATCTCTCCTGCGATTATCAAGCCTGAACCATGTCCCCAACCCTATCACGACACACGCACCCACCAAAAGGAAGACACAATTCACAATCAACGCGGGCATATACCTTGGTGCGGTATCTGCCTGGAATGACAGACTTGATGGAATGCCCGCGCAATTGGCCGCGCCCACCAAGAAGCCCACCGTCGCTGCTCGCTGGCTCTCATCGGTGACGTTGTTGGTATGCCAGCTATGGAAGATACTGCTTGGTACGAAAGCGCCGGCCGCCAGGAGGAAGCATGCGAAATAGGCTACCCCCTTGTTTGTATTTGCGTCAACGGTGGCGAGAATAACGTATCCGACAAACGTGATGATCAACGCGGCCGCCAGGTGGAAGGAGCGCTCTCGAAAATGATCCGACGACTTGGCAATGATCCAGAGAACCACGGTCCCGACGCAGTACGGGGCCACCGTATATAAATTTGTTTTCACTGCGGAGTAGCCTTGGAGAGCCACCATTTGAGGGAGGAAATTGCTAACGGAGCTTTGGGCAACACCGAAGCAAAAGCAACTGACGGCCCAGACGAGGACCCGCCAATCCAACAGGGCAGCCAGAGCGTCTGTGATGGAAAGGTGATCTGTTGTACGGACAGACCCATCTTGCAGGAGACGCATCTGTGCCACTTGGGATTCGGCTTCGTTGAACCAGTGACACTTGGAGCCACTGAGGGGGAGCCACCAGGCTGCGAATGTAGCGATGATGATGGTCGCACCGCCTTCGATCAAGAAAAGGTATTTCCAGCCTGGTAGATGTTGTTTGATCTGAAAGACACCAAAGGCGATAAGGCCGGAAAATGCACCTACGGTTCACGGACGAAAATTGTGGTGAGTAGAAGCATTGTAGTGTTTGGGGTATTGGAAAATTCAAAGCTCACCTGCGATGGTAACCATGCCGTAAAATATAGAGAGGCGAAAGGCGATTTCATTTCTTTTATAGAATTGTGTCAGGTAGAAGATCACCCCCGCTGGGTTTTTCATTAGCCAAGTCTCTGTCACTCCAGGACCATTGTATGCATACCAAAAAAGCCTGCTTCGAATACACCCATAAAGAGTCGACATACGAGCATACCAGCAAAATTGAATGCTGCACATTGAAGAAGCGTAACACTACCCCTACAAGGAGGTTACTATAGCCCATACTCCTAGTATCCGGAAAGACGGAAGGTCCGGCACCTACCAGCCAAGCATCATTATAGGAAGCATGGTTTTACCGCTGAACCTCTTCAGCAGTAGGTTGGAGGGCAGATCGAACAGGGAGAATGTAACATTAAAGACGGCAAGGATAATACTGTATTGATTGCCAACCAGCTTGAGATCTTGGTCAATACCATCCGTCTTCGCGTTCCCCAGATTACTTCGATCAAGGGAGTTGAAGAAGTACATTAACGAAAGGACGGGAAGAAGTCTAGATTCGGAGTCAGTGATGGCTATCTCTCCTCTGGAGGTGAGGACAATGTGTTACTTGAAGTCCAACTTCCGGAGTACTGATCTCTCGATGCACGGATCGATTCTGATAGATTCACCTGGTACCGTGCCCGTTTCTTTGGCGGCAGCGTTAGAAATCACAAGCTCTAGCTCATCCTTCTTTGAGGTCTGGGATTCCATGACTGCGCAGGGGCCAAGGATGCCTAGGATCAATGTGAAGGCGTGAAGGCAATAACCGGGGACTGAAAACACAGGGTTGAGTCGCCTCTTATAGGCTCAGTTTCGATAACAGTAGCTCTACATAACTGGTCACCCTATCAGCCAAAACCAGACAGATATTGCTAACATTGCATGCACCCCAGAGGGATAGTCGTCGGGCGACACACTTCGTTGTGACACGGAAGATAGGCAGGCTCTTGAGGCGGACGTCATACGGAGGGGCGGTATCCTATCATGTCCTACACGATCAAGGTTCACCATATCATCTTATCGAACATACGGAGGGCATTAAACACTAATCTGGGGTTGTTGTTGCTCCGACGAGAGCGGCATCGATACGATTAGGGCCAACTTGGACCGACATGGCAATTCCTTGTCGGTTGAACCCGCCGGCAAGAGTCTTGATATCTCATTTTCCCCGCACGCCATTATCACTTCCCTTGACAACATTGACTAGCAGGATCAACGCCCTCGACACGTATCACTCGATCAACGAGCAAACGGGGAAGGTCCAATCGATGTTAGGGTATCGGTGTTGTCTCCGAGAAAGCGATACCTGCGCTGTTCGGCCCGTGACCTAGAATTCTGGTGTTCATCTCAAGCGAACGAAACGAGGGACAACGGTCTTTCTGAAGCAGATACTAACTGAGGTAGAGGAATATTGCCTTTCTAGGTAAAACGGCCTGTATCAGCCCGCGACGGAATATTCCGACAACCGACATCTCGTCACGTAACGCGGAGCGGATTCAATTCCAACAAGCAGCCACTGAACAACCTCCCTCGACCAGTCGTCTTCCTCGCGGCTTCCTCCCCACGCTCAAGATACTACCGTACTGCGTTGGGGCCCAGGAGCTAAGTTCCGACGGTCGCAAGGTGGGCTGATCCGAGATCAAGAGCGATTGTTTAAGCGCCCCGACAATCTCGGGTGGGGTTGCGTTCTGATAGACTAGGACTCCAAATGGCTGGTGTAGCTCAGGTATAAGACAGGAGTACGGCTGACTCTGAACTGTCGAGCTCATTTTGCGTGAATGACATTGCTTTGGGTCACTTTTTAGTGCTCTATGGTTTCTACAATGGCGTCTCAAATACCGCTCAAGGACAAGCAGTCACCCATTGTGATTGTTGGGGCAGGTGTCTTCGGCCTCAGCAGTGCCATCCATCTAGCCAAGAGAGGATTCACAGATATCACTGTCTTTGACCGACAGCCATACCATGAGACTCTGTACGACTTCGATAAAGGCTGCGATGCTGCCTCTGCAGGTAAATACTTCCGTCCCACGCACACAGAACCCATGGTGTAATTTCTGACAAACAGACAATTTAGACTGCAACAAGATCATCCGCGCTGCGTACGGTGACGAGGTTTGGTACCAGAGCCTAACCCTGAAGGCGATCGAGGTCTGGGAATCATGGAACAGGTCTCTTGCAGAAGAGGCCATATTGCCGCCCGGGATGACAAGGAAGGATCGGATCTATGTCAACTGCGGTAATTATCATTTCGGGGACGAAACCCATGGTCTCAACAATTTCGAGAAACTATCGGTGGACAACATTACCAAAGCTGGTAAAGGCCAGACACAGTACCTGCTGTATTCTGATCCAAAGGAGGTGACACGCGCCCGGGCGGATGGGTTTAGCTACGCAGTGGATCCGTTTGGCCTTGCCAAAGATGGACAGCATCAGGGTTATTTGGACATGATCGGGGGATTTGTTTATGCAGACAAAGCTTGCACCTATGCGCTCCATCTAGCGAAGCGGCTCGGTGTCAAACTGGTCCTCGATAGGCAGACGGGTAGCTTGGAGAGCTTCCTAGAAGATCCGACTGGTAGAGTGGTCGGTATCAAGACTGGCGACGGCAAACACCACACGGCCGCAGCGACGATCATTGCGTGTGGAGGCTGGACACCTAGTCTGATCCCCGAGATCGATGGCCTCTGCGAGACCACAGCCGGATCCCTCGCCATGATCCAGATCCCAGAAGGATCTTCCCTTCGGGACCGGTTCTCGCCAGACAACTTCCCCGTATTTCAGTGGAATACACGGGCTGGGGAAAATGGCAATCTGTACGGATTTCCGCTGGATAGTCGCGGTGTGATGAAGATCGGGTACAGAGGAACGAAGTATACGAACCCACAACAGGTCCAGTCGGGCCAGGTGCGCAGTGTACCGATCACGAAGTGGACGTCGCCGTTCATTACTGGATTGCCGGAAAAGTCCGTCCAGGTTATTCAAAGCTTTTTAGACAAGTATCTTCCCGAATTGAAGCAGAGTGGGATCGGAATCTCCCAAACCAGACTGTGCTGGTACACGGACTCATTTGATAACAATTGGGTAATTGATGACATCCCGGGCAAGGAAGGGGTCATTGTGGCTACAGGTGGCAGCGGTCACGCTTTCAAGTTCCTACCGTTACTTGGCGAGTTCGTCGCCGACAAGGTGATGGGAATCGAGTCGGACATGCTGCGCAGGTTTCAATGGCGGAAACTGCCCCATGGGGAACCGCCTCGTAACCAGCTGATGAAGGGATTCAATGATGTAAATGCTCTCTACCGAGTGCGGATGGTGCCTGACCAAAACAGCCACTATACTTCCAAACTCTAGGATAGAGTCGTCGACTCTTTTATCTTGGTTGCTGGAAGACAGATAGGGCATCATATCTAGAAAGCAAAAGCTTTGAGAGCCGTTCGAGCTGTTAATGCTGCAAACGTAGTAGATTGAACTGATAAAGTATAGTAGCCACAACCTTGCGCTGAAGGGTGTAGTAGCTATTGTTGCCTTTGTCCAGGGAGGGGTTTCTAGATAGACATGGGCATGAAGATATATATATAATCAAGTATATCCCACCGTCACCCACCGTCCTGTACAGTAAATACTTCTCCCGCTCTTTGGGCCCAAAATTAAGAGTTGGCCAGTTCAGAGAAGAGGACCGCATTCTTAATTACATTATTTGGCACAGATCAAGAATGAAGATTTGCTGGACGAGCCACTGGATAACTGAAATTTGGTGAGTTTCGACTGGGGCAAGAGAGTGGGGATTGCCGGATATTGGCGGCCCCTCAAGAAAAATTTTCCCTTTCCCCTTTTCTCTTCCTAACTAACGAAGCCTTTCTTCTTGCCTCAGGGTCTCCATTTCACAAAGAGAGTCTTACTCGGTAGGAAAAGGATTCCCACAGAAATTGCCCCTGGCGCGTTGGGTGACCTGGATGTGCCGTCCTTATTCAGGGGGAGTGGCGAACCAAATGCCACTCATTTTTGAATCCCAAGAAAAATAAAACTAAAAATAAATTACGCCTGGAACCAGTGGCACAAGTGGACTCCCAAAGAATGGCATTTATCCGCGCGCTTGATGTTCGACTGCCCATCGGGTTGAGTCTATCAATTCTATTTAAAACAGACCATAGCAGAATATTGACTTATGGTATACCTCGATGAGATCGAGCTCGACATGGGTCTGAAGCCCCATGAAATGGACCTTGACGAGGTGTCTCGAAATCGTATAGACAAAGTAGTCTTGATCGTAGCAAATAAGCATCCTGCCCCTGGGGTCATCATGATGATGTTCTCAAGATCCGAGCGAAGGCACAACATTGACGTCAGAAACCGTTTCCTTTCATGATTTCAGGACGAACAATGAATCCATTGGGCAAGAGGCTTGATGTAGTGGGACGTAATGTCAAAGACACTGCACTACAGAGCAACCGAATCGACCGGCGCGTGGGCTACTGTGCAAAAAACCCTGTGATTGACCAGGTAGAGCTCCATATATTGTCAAAATGGCTCCACTTCTCGCGGAAAATCTCCACCACTTCATTGCCAAAAGCTTGTTGAAGTACTCGGCAAGCGCTAGAACGTTGTTCATTGCCTATAATGGAGTAGCTCAATGGCTCAGCTTTTTGGAGATTTCCCTGCGCTCATTGAAAGAAAAAAAAAACTCCTCTTCTTGTCCTTATCTATCTCCCTTGCATTCAGCTCCACCATTCCATAACCTCTTCTACTTGTGCTGCTGTCCTCGCAGTTTGACTAGCCTGAGCGATACAGCAAGGTACTGGGTTACGTTGGAATGCGTCATCATGGACGAAGGTAGCCCCAGACGCCCCCGAGCTAGGGTGAGTTCCTTCAGTGATTGGGTCAAAACATCTCTCAGTGCTCACGGCTCGTTGCTAACACCGAATCGCGGTTGATATAGTCAGAAGCGACCAGCCAGAGTAGAATGGAAATCAACAGGGAGTCGTCGCCGACATCACCTACACGCGGCGTGAGTGATTCTGCCAACTATAGCTCTCCCACTCGTCTCACGTCAGGAGTGGACACCTCAAGAGATGTTGAACCCGACGGGATCCGACGCCGCAATACTGTCCGCTCGGCGCGGACAGGCAGTTTGGCACAGCGAACGACCCTAGCGGAGCGCACGCAGGGACAGTTCACCATGGGGGGTCCAGAGGACGGCCCACAGCTGCGGCAGGCACATGAACCTTTTGTTCAGCCGGGCTATTCACATCTTAACCCCTCCTATGAGCAGCCCGCAAATACGAAGCCCGTCTGGTCTCTCGCAAAACCCTTGCCGCGTGTGGTGCGGGCGGGCATGGTGCCGACAAAGGAAGAGCTGCTCGATGCGAGGCTGCAGCCAGAGCGTCCGGCCGAAAACTCGCAGAAGCTTGGGCTCGATGTGGATCCGAATGACTTGGAGCAAGGCCAAATTCCCAAAATGGCGGATCCCCGGAAGATGGCAGCGCAGGTGGAGGACGCTCGCCTTCAGCGTGAAAACAACTTTGTCAATAAAGTCCTCACCGGAGATGTTGGTTCCTCGCGCATATCACGGACGTCCTCTACCCGCCGGCGTCGCCCGTCAGTCCGGATAGATGCCGCGAGCGATCAGCTTTCCACCGTCCCAGAAGGGCCGAGTGCGGTCCCGAGCGTAGCTTCCGTTCAGGCTGGAGAAGGCCTGCCGCATGGGAATGATGAGCCCCTGGAGACCGTGCCAGAGCAGCCGGAGGTGCAAACTGCCGCGGTGGATGCCCTGCCTGACCTTTCGGCCTTGCATGAATCAACACTCCCGGATGATCTGCATCCACTAGTGCAGGAGCTGGTGGAAGACGAAGTGCACAACAATCATACCACCTGGTCCGTTATTCGCACTCACCATCGTGAGGCGCTGGCTGAATCCCTGGCGGTATTTGTCCAGCTGACCATTGGCTTCTGTGCTGATATTTCTGTCACCGTCGCTGATGCCGGTAATCCCAATACAACTGCGTGGGCATGGGGCTTTGCTACCATGATGGCGATCTATATCTCCGGTGGTGTCTCGGGTGCTCATCTCAACCCCAGTATAACGATTATGTTATGGTTTTATCGTGGCTTCCCTAAGCGTAAGATGCCGGAATACTTTCTGGCGCAATTCGTGGGAGCTTTTGTTGCGGCACTGACTGCCTATGGGGTATACTACCAATCCATTCATCAGTACCTCCTTACCCACCAAGATACGGGGATCGTGACCAGCTTTGTGACGGGGCAGCGTCAATCATGGATCGATCCAGCAACCGCCTTCTTCACGGAATTTCTCGGGACGGCCCTCACGGCCACAACAATCCTGGCCTTGGGTGACGATCAGAATGCACCTCCTGGGGCGGGCATGAATTCGCTGATCGTTGGGCTGATGGTGTTTGTGCTGTCGAATACTTTCTCTTACCAGACAGGGGCTGCATTCAACCCCAGTCGAGACTTTGGGCCACGCCTCGCTCTCCTCGCTCTCGGCTATGGGTCCAACCTTTTCACAAACCCCTACTGGTTTTATGGGCCATGGGCCGGCTCTCTATGCGGTGCTCTCATCGGTGCGTTCCTGTACGATTTCATGATCTTCACTGGTGGTGAGTCGCCGGTGAATTACCCTTGGGAGCGTACTCAGCGCTCGCTGCGGAAGAGTCGCATCAAATGGAAACGGCGGTTGCGCTTTGACCGTCGACGACGTGGCATCCCCGAGAAAGTCGTTGCTTAATGTGTCGCTCGTTGAAGGGCTCATGGCTGCGTGGAGGTTTCCTTCTTTCCTTTATGAACCGATAGACATCTCTAGATTCCCACTTATTTTGCGCTGAGCGTTATTTCCTACTGTATATAGACCATCTAGAGTGATATAGAACGCAGAATGAACACTTACTACCCATACATCTCATTTGATTTCCAACGTGGACCGGGTAGCCCAATCGGGAAACCCGGGTCACATGGCCTCAGTTGACACCACGTGGGGTGTCGAAACCCAAGATCGACATTCGAGCGGCATCGTCGGATTAAATTGATTCCTCCACCACTCCACAGCCATCCAATGCGCGTCCCTGGACGCGTACCCACGTTATAGAACCAGTTTTCGCGTGCTATTTACCTCGGCTTCCCAAAAAGCTCCAAATCACATCCGTAATGCCACCCAAGGCACACCCAATAGCCGAACCATCCGATCTCCCAATTCACCCCTTTAGATCGGCCGCTGAATTTGAACATTTTCTGGAGCGGGAGCATTCCACATCTCCAGGGATCTACGTGAAACTGGCCAAAAAGTCTTCCGGCATTCCTTCTGTCTCTCGCGATGAAGCTGTGGAGACGGCGTTGTGTTTCGGATGGATCGATGGTCGTGCGCATGCGTACGATGAGGACTGGTGGCTGGTGCGATATACCCCACGACGTGCGAAGAGCATCTGGTCCAAGAAGAACGTGACGACCGTAGAACTATTGCTGAACGCCGGTCGTATGCGGCCAGCCGGGTTGGCCGTGGTGGAAGCTGCACAGGCGGACGGTCGCTGGGCTCGTGCATACGATGGCCCGGCCACTATCACGGTGCCGGATGATCTAGCAGCTGCGCTGACGCAGACGCCAGAAGCCGCGACTTTTTTTGAAGGGTTGAATCGGTCAGACAGGTACTCGGTCTTGGTTCAACTTCAGTGGACTGCTCCACAGCGCCGAGCGAAGCGCATCGGCACATTGGTCCAAATGCTAGCAGATGGTAAAACGCCAGGAGTGTCAGTCAAGTCAGCCAAAGCAAGTAAACGGAAATCTGTGGATAGGAACCATGACCAGGATGGACGTCGGAAAACATCGAAAAAGACCTGACCCTATGCCTAGTCTACGAGATCAATAGAAAGGCCAACATGAGGCTTCATATCAACCCAACGCAGGGTGCTAATATAAATGCTATGCAGTGATTTGGGAAGCATATATCACTAGAATGCGCTAGCACCATCCCCTTTGACCATGACCAAGTTGCTAGACTTGTGAGGCCGGGAAGGTCTCGATTCACCTTTGTCATCAGAATAAGATGATGATGTTAACACCATTTCTGGGACTGTAAAATATCCAAAGAATATAAAGCAACGTCTGGGTTCCAATAGATGTATTCAGTACAAGGATACCTAGATGCCATAAGCATGCAGCTACCGGAGTGTAACTTGGTCAGATAATCCCAGTGTGCCCCTTCAGCATGTGTGTATCCCCAAATCACCACCCCCATCAATGTAGCTCTTCTAGGAATCTCCGTGTTGACTGACACTCGTTTATGCTGTACGGTGGAGGGCGGTGTCTAGTGGTAAACGAAGCCAGATTTGTTGAGACCCTCGTAAATCCCAACAGCAAGAGAGGCACCGTATGAAATCGACAGGGACATACACGAGGTTGATATTGTGGGAGCCACCGATACAAATCGAACCATCGGCAAAGCTACCGATCGACGCTTTTCGGGACCCTCCCGAGGCATCGGGAGGGGCCGACGTTTCTGCAGAGGCAGAAGGATTATCTTACGGCACTAGACTAGAATGCAATTTCCCAGAAATAGAAACTATCTACAAGCACTCTCCACTTGGGGTTAACCAATCAACCACAGAGATATGATGGGCCCTGACATGACCCGATGCGTGAAAGAGGTGCCATGCATGTCTCCTGAGAGGTCATGTAGCACCTCGAACTTTTTTGTTCGCTTTACCTGGCTGCCTGGATAACCACTGCCATCCATTCGAGCATACTATGAACATTACACAACCAACCGTCATCTCAAGGGAGTCAGTCCCCTCTGAAATATCAAGACTGGGACCCTGGCGAGGTACTGTGTAGGAAGACCTTCTAATGTTTCATCTGATAATAAGAAAAAGGGACAAAGAAGAGCAGCCTCGGAAGCGGGAGCCTTGCAGGATCCAAGGTTACATCGTCTCGTGGGGATGGAGCTGATGATCTGATACATCTGGACCAGGCCATTTCTATTGACCCAATTATCCGACTCGTGCTTGTCGGCCATCCGGGCCAGTGAGTTAGTCTAAACGACCAAGCGCCGTTTTGCACGAATAACGACTGAATTCCATCATTTGTATGAATTCTACTAGGTAAAGCTTGGTGTAGAGTTGTGTATGTCCGAGCCATTCCTTCAGGGAAATCCTTAGATGAAAACGTTGAAGTGCACATCAATGGGGCCACCTCACGGCTGGAAGGCCGCCGACCACCCCCGAGCTATAACGGGGTTACATTGCAATGCGTCGATCGCTTTGGGGGCGATACTTTGCAGTAATGATGTTCAATGCTCCAAGGATCATGTGGTCGAGGGGTTAGATGAGGTATAAAGACCAGCACATTTCTTGTGGGATGACCATGAAAGCGACAAGCCAAACTTCTCAGCTCCAAGTTCTCATTAATCGATCTGCTTTTCCTTTCACACAATGCGTCTCTCCGAGATCCTCGCTGTTGCTCTGGTCACTGGTGCCACCGCATATGATCTGCCGGACAACCTGAAGCAGATCTACGAAAAGCACAAGGTACATCCCATCCCATCCACCGGTATTTGACCCTACATGCTGGGATTTAGCATCTAATACTTTGTATGTGTTCAGGGAAAATGTTCAAAGGTATATGAAAAAGGATTTACCAATGGTGGCCACAGCGATGGCAAGTCCTTTGAATACTGTGGTGATATCGAGGGTGCAATTTTCATGCACTCCTCGGCCAAGGGCGGCCAGTACACCAACATGGATGTTGACTGCGATGGAGCCAACAACTCTGCGGGGAAATGCTCCAATGACCCATCTGGTCAGGGCGTGACCGCTTTCAAGGATGACGTGAAGAAGTTCGGCATTCCCGACCTCGATGCCAACCTTCATCCGTACATTGTGTTTGGGAATGAGGAACACTCTCCCAAGTTCAAGCCTCAAGACCACGGAATGGAGCCCTTGAGTGTCATGGCTGTTGTGTGCAATGGCAAGCTGGTAAGTAGATTGTCCTGAATAAGAGATGTTGTTGGCTAATTTGAGCTATTCAGCACTACGGTATCTGGGGTGACACCAACGGGGGCACTTCCACTGGCGAGGCTTCCCTTTCTATGGCGGAACTTTGCTTCCCCGAGGAGAAGCCCGATGGTGATCACGGCCACGATGACAACGACGTCCTCTATATCGGATTCACCGGCAAGGATGCTGTACCCGGCAAGAGTGCCAACTGGAAGGCCAAGAAGACCGAGGACTTCGAGGACAGCATCAAGTCGATCGGTGACAAGCTGGTTGCCGGCCTCAAGGCTTAAGAGGTAGATTATGAGACTTGTACAAACGCACAGCTGACGCGCGGATCAGCCCATGGCGCTGTACAGTATGTATAAGTAGATGAGACCCTAGTAGGAGTGGTGTGTATTTAAGCCGAGTCAAATAACAGTACTTGATAGTAATATTTCTATGTACCGCAACTAGAGGATACCATGGGAGTACTCGTCACTGGCCCTTCTAAAACTTAGAATACTCTATGATAGGCCACAATGCCTTTAAATTGAAGCGGATGACGCTTCATCTTGCGCAAGGCTTGGTGGCGCAATGTCAAATACCATCTTCCGCCCCTTATCCAAAGTCTGTTCAATTTTGTCCAAGTCCTCATCCCACTTATTGCCCTCATTCATGACTTCCAGTGGATCTTTATTCAGTTGCTCCGCATCAACATGAACATCGTCGCCTAATGTCATCACTCCTCGTGCAATAGGCCTACGGAGTTTGTCAAGCAATCCCGGGCCTTGGGCAATAGCTTGGTTGGGATCCTCATATATCTTAACTTTAAAGGTCTTTCCCTTCTGGAAGAAAAAGTCCTTGCTCGTGTAAACAGCATTTTGGTTGTCCTGTGGGAATGGATGCATCGTTTCCTCGCGGAACTCAGTTAAAGTAAGGATCAGACCTTCCCCTTTGCCCAGTCGAGTGGACACTGGGTCGGCAAGTTCATCGCTTAGTTCGAGTTTGACGTCACACGCAGACAGGTTCACGTTAGGTGCCTGGAGCAGCATATGTGAGATATGAAATTGTTTCTCAGAGCCGTACAAATAGAACGGCATAACATGTCGTGGATAGTGGTCGTCACGATTAGCGGAGTTCAAAGGACGACTTTTAACGATCCGGGTTATTTGCACTGTGCATTCAATACGGTCAAGGGGAGCCTTATTCCCGCGGAGCTTAATATGACCGGCTATCTCAGGGCTTTCACCCTGCTCCATTCTCTTGATCAACCCCTCTATATTTTGCGTGGCATCGGACGTGAACACAAAATCGCACTCGCTATGCTCAGCCTTCAAAGTAATGTAGCGCCCTTGGACCGTTGATTCCAGCTTAGCGGCCAAAAGTATCTGCTGGCGTTGAGTAGCGGCATGGAAACTCGTCTGGAAATCCAGGAAGACTTCATCGGTTCCCCGGAGAAGAAACTCGACATGTTTATCTTTGAGACTGTTTCGCTTGCGGCACCACCTCACTTCATCAATAATTATATCCTCAAATAGTTCCATTATCTTGTTTATGAAGCCTTTGTCCGTGGGGAAGGGGCTCATCACGACGTTTCGTAGGACCCAGAGATCCTGAGCGCAGGGAGTCAGTCCGAGGCGCGACATGAAATTCTGTGCGCACTGGCCGTACAACGCTGGCTCAAACTGCGTTGAAGTCAAGAAGAGTGGTACCTCATTGGGGTTACCTCTGGTGGTGGTAATGGACAATCGGTTCACCACCCGCCTCATCAGGTAGTTAGCCTCTTCCAAATCCGTATTGAGCTGGCCATCCTCCCGATACCAGTTGATCGTGAAGGCATTGATATTAAGATCTGAGCCAAGCTTCCGCAGCCAGGTCATGGATTGCTCATTTTTACTGACTTGGGCATTGTCCTTGTCGATCAAGTCCGTGTAAATGTCCCTGCGACGCTCCTCAGCCCTCTTGCTTAAGCTGTGAACGCCTTCCTCCTTCTCGACGGCCAATGGGTTGAAGGGAATGACGATATAGTAGCGGTGCTTATGAACCTTATTGTCATAATCCAAATCCCTGAATTCCCAGGCATCTTCCTTGAAATCTTGCCTGATGTGCATGGCGGCGTACCAGGCCGATAGCTGAAAAAGTCAGAAAATGTGGTCCAAATGGAACACCAAGAAGGGTCTTACCCGCGCACTGGTAAAGGCTGCCTCGCCCAAGAGACGGCCATATCCAGCCGGATTTAAACCGATTGTCTGGTTAGACATCCAAGCCGCCATGGCTGCCGCACCCGGCTTGCTACCCTCAACACCATACACTCCAATATTTTCCAGGGATCCCTGCGTCAGATATGGGCTAGTCCAGGTGACCAAAAACCGCATGCGACCATCCCGATAACACAAACTTCCAGCGGGATAGGGGATGTAGCCCGCCTTGTGAGGATCCACCGTGATGGTATCGGTTTCCTTAAGTGCAATCATATCTCTGAGGGTGTCCTCCCTCAGAGGCAGTGAAGGGACCTCATCTACCGCTTTATCGCCATCCCCTTCCTGAATGGGTTCTTCTGAGTCCATCATGTCTCGGGGAATCATGCTGGCAAAGTATCCACCCCAGGCAGCGTCGGCATGCACCAAAAATGATAGTCCCCGGTCCTGGAATCGTCGACGCATGGCCAGGATCTCATGCAATCGATCAACCGCACCTTCCTCTGTTGACCCCATGATGGCCACTACTGCATACACAGGCTGACGTTCTTCAAGACAGCGATTAAGCTCTCGCTCTAGGGCGTCAAGCGAAATGCGGCCCTCCATGTCGAGTTCCACGCCCTGCATGTTGGCGGACCCAATGCCAGCAATTGCTATCTAAGTTAGCAATCGATCTTCGAAGTCGAGAGGGATATACACACCACCGCCTTTAGGCCACGAGTAATGCCGTGTTTGAGCAAGGAAATACTTGGCGGGCTTCGTGATGCGGAACTCACGCTCCAATACGTCCTTGCCAGTCGTCTGGATGGTGAATGGCGTCAAGGCTTCCTCTAAGAACTTAGATGTGATACCAAACTGTCTATACAGAGCGTCTCCCATGCCCAGGATGACGTCAGGTTTGAGGTTTAGTAGTTCCCAGACGCCCAGGTCTTTGAATAGTTTCTCTTCCCCAACACAAGTGGTCACCTGGAATTCATTGGCTATGAAGCCAAGAGGCCCTTCCTTCATGGCCTGATACAGGGTGAGGGGGTAAAATTTGAGATTGCGCGCTGCAGATGAGTACGTAAGAAGGATGCTATTGGTTATTATTGTTATTTTTCTCTTTTTTTTTGGAAGGCTTGCTTACCAACCCAAATAGATTCCAGATTAGCCACAGTTCCATCACAGGTAATGTGGCCCCAGGAGAGAGGTAACTCGTTTTTACCCTCGTCTGTATTATAACCAAACATTTCACACAGTTGCTTTCCCACTCTCAGCTCAACAACTGTGGTGAATGGACTTGCCTCAACGGCCACATTATTCGGGTTGTAAATCATAGTCATGAAATAACCAAGCAAACCTGGCATCGCCATGTCTGTGCACATGTGCCCCTGGTATCGAGGATGCCAGAAAGGGATCGAGTGCTTGCCCAAAAGGTCAACAGCATCTCCGACGGCCTTCTGGAAGTTGGCGTTGATTGGCGCGAGCTTTTGTCGCACAGTGTCAGGGATAAATGTTTCCTATCGGGGTTAATTTGCCATGTACACTCAAGCTTGCAGGAGGCGATAAAAGAACAACGGGAAGAATAAGGGAAGGAAGAGCCATACCTTATCATTAGGCTGGTAGGCATGACGAGTCGTTACAATGCCATCCAGGATAATCTTGATATTGTCTCTAAAGTCCTGCATATTCTCGGACTTAGGCCCAATGAAGTAGGAACTGATGATATCATGGTTAGTGGGCTTATTCCGCCCTGACGATTCAACCATAGTGTCGTTGTGTATTCTGGGATGCTTCTGTTGTTGCTATCCGGGTGAAAGATATGGTTAATGTTGGTCCGAAAGTTCCCACATCCAAGTCAACGTATTTATACCGTTGTCTCCCCATACTACGTTCCACCTCAGTGGAAACCGTCCTATCCAGTTGTGGAGTTAGCCTTCCTACCTCAGCTGAGTGGACTGGTTCTCTTTCATGCAAAAGAGTGGATGCAGGATTACCCTTTCGGCCGTGGGGCATTTACAGAAGGCAATGATCAACCATTATTCGGAGCTGAAAAGAAGTAGATATTACCCAATAGGTTTATGATGGCGATCATCTTCTAGAGAGACCAACACATAAGTTACCTGCAATGCATCTCACCACTCCCATCACAAGTAATGCTTCACAGTGAATCATTACTCTATTTTACTGTCATAAAAGTGCGAGGCCATTCAACACCGCGGTAGTTACTCCCTACGGCTCCCACCCGCTTGCCGGATACGAATGCACAAAACGAGGAAAGAGATGCAAGCACGTACAGGCAGGCAGAGTCCGACACCTTGCATAGTGGACAGGCTGCCTCTGATTCATCGATGAGGATACGGTTCTGGCATTCTTGCTCAGCCGGCCCATCGAGAGAATGAGTCGGGGGCTCGTGTGAAATCCATTCACACTACGAGCAGTGACGTGGCGGTGGGCACATATGCATGATCAATCTCGAACTTGATCTGTCATCTTCAGGCCGCCAGTTTGGACCGATCTGCACCCATATCCTGGCTTGACTAAGTTAGTTCCCCACCTGTTGAGATTGGAGCAAAGTATGTCAGTTATTATTGGAGTCTGAAAGTATAGTGTACGGTCCTGGCTTTACTATCGTGACCGAGAATATGTGCCAGCCTCATTCCCTATCATAGTTTGCAGTGGACTGGAACATATATCAATGGCTTGTCATAGTTGCAGACGTGAGGTATTATCTTAGATCTTGAACTGTTCACGCCCCGGAAGATTATCTTAGATTCGCCAAAGATCAGCGGCGGGGCATCCACAGTCTGTCCGCCAGCCACTTCCGTGAAGACCCACCGTCCTGCAGGAAGTCACCAATGCAAGGCTTCATAGGTGGTCTACTGGGCCTGAACATAGAGTTAGTATAGGAGGGCATCCAATGACGTGGATATATTCCGTGACGTCTGTTGTCCGAGTCAAGTTACTCGGAATGAGCCAACTCAAAGAGACTCTTTGGCCCCTCGACTATCTTCTGTTGGGGTTGGTGGGCCCAAGGCACGGTTAAAGTGCCAATTGATGTTGTAGTCGAGTGGGACTAAAATCTTCTGCGCCAACAATGACTGATATCGTTACGCTGGTCACTGCTCGCCGTCCACGCTACCGTGCTATGGAAGGGTCTTGGTAGTAACTGCCACGTCAACATCGGCAGTTGGCCAAGGAAAGCGAGGAATACTATAGTGAACTCCTCTCTTTACTTAAAGACCAGGAATATCACAAAGACCACAAAACGTGTGATTGGTCGGCCGTCTGAATCAATATTGTGAGATTGACTAGCGGTCGAAGACTCCGTAGACTCACTGGTGGGATGAACCTCCAGAACCGGGGCGGAAGCGAGATGACATGGCCTTCGATGAAGCAATGGACACTGTCGGGAAAGGACCAATAGAGTTTCACAGTAATGGCATTCACATCTACTAGAAACCTCATTATTTTGCACCGTGGAAGAGGCGAACAAGGGGGGAGACAGGGGCACTGAGATACTAGTATGAGATCTGTGGAACGGGGTGGATTACAAATTGCGCTGTCAAGACTCGTGTTGACCCGATTCCAGAGATAAAAATGATATAAGCCTTGTATTCAGGCAGTATTTGACGCTTATGTACCAGGGCAATGGATGAAAGATATATTACTGTATCGGTCAACATATGCCGAGAGACACTGATGGACAAATTGGCCTTTAATGGTACGTGGGCATGAGAGTACAGGTATAAAAATGAGCTCACCCAGATGTCCTGTGAAATCATGAGCATTGAGTCCCATGAAAGGCTTCGAATACGCCAAGACTGGCCTTTAAAGAAAATCTAGAACCTTTGATATTTCACAGGACAAAGCCTTTGCCGATGCCATGGTGCACAGCGGTTTGCTGATATACTGAAGGTGATGTCGCCCAGCCGAGCCCGTATGGGGACCTTGTCACTTGTCGGTCCTCATTCCATCAATATTTGATCGATAGTCCCGGGACTGAAGTCATCCCGCTATCTAATGCAATGTCTAAATACGCAACTCGGGCTAAACCATGCTGCATTGGTCGTCAATTCTCTGCCAGTCTCAGCGTGTCAGCATTTAACAACCATTCTTCCATCATCCCGACTGAGATTTACCAGTAATCTGGAGTGTTGAACCGACGTCAGCATGGAATGCAATATACAATATTCACTGGTATCTACAGTATGTTGGACATCGCATGATAGAGAAGGGGCTTGAGATGGATATTAACAGCGACTATCATCACCCAGGGGCGAATCAGCAAACAGCACCTCCATTCAGCATATCATAATAGAGAAAGGTGATAGTTAGAAGCTCGATGGAGGTCAGTTGAAAACCGGATCGGTCTCTTGCCAAAAGCTTATACCTGTACTCTGATCAGCAATCGCCTGGCTCGGACCTTGGAGCAGCCCCTGCAAACCTTGTCCTCTGCCCTTTTCTCCTACTCTTGGACCGTGGAATGTGTTTCTGCTTTTCAGTCTTGACTATTGCGTCTTGCTGTATCTGCTTCCCTTTCATGTCGGTTAGCAGGGAGCAAACAGTAGTCGCTATCGATTGCCGGGGAATTTACAATCCGACCGGGTGGACGAACTTAAGCGAAGTTTCCGATTTTTAACCGAGTAGACCTGGGCGTTTCGACTTGGGCTTGCTGGCTATTAATCTTCGGTCCGAGAGCCCCCAGTGGGGAGGATGATCGAATAGTATTGGGGGATCAGGATGATCTCCTCCGTTTCGCCAGGCTGGGCACGCCGATCGCAACATCGATAAATTGCTTTTAAGGGTCACGATTGCCATTCAAGGAAATTCCGCCAACGATGGCTGCAGACTCAACCTTTACTTGAAACGCTTCACCTGGGACGCTTAGCATGTGCCATGACCTTGTCTCTCGGTCGCGCTGACACTCGGAGAGACGTTGGCACATAAAAGATGCCGCGAGAAGTGCCAGTCCCGGAAGGGGGGAACAGAATAACCCCCATCGAACGTAAGAATGGGATCTCTAAGCAGGCTGGTGGCTGTAAGTGCATCGCTTTTCGCGGTCGCTACAGCCCAGATCAGGGTTCGTCTGAGCCCGTCCACAGTTAACCTCCTCGCTGAACCCGACTTTCACACTTGGACTATTGAAAACGAAAGTCAGAATACGTCCACGACGGTTGACTCTCTGGATTTTACCTTGTCCGCCTCGTCCGATTCAGACTTAGAAGGCAACAGCTACAAATATCAGTATACCCGGCCCGTCTCCCATCTCGGAGAAAGAGTCGTCAACCAAGGGATTACCACCTCCAGTGACAACCCCGGACCCATTACGTTGACCATCCAAGGCCTGGAGTCAGGGGAGCACACTCTCTTGACCTGGCATAATGCTTGGGACTCTTTAGACTCCACTGCGACCATTTCGGTCTCGGTGGACGGTGAAGATAAGGCTTCAGTATGTCGTTAGAAGCCAGGTATAGCCATATGAGCGCTTACATGATGTGTGTTTCTAGGACATCAAGCAGTCCATTCGGGTCGACAATATTTGGGAGGCCGCAACGTCTTATGTGACGTTTACTGTAGACTCCCCCGATCAAGGGGTAGAAGTCATCTACACTCCCTCCGGCGCCGACGGACTTGTCTATCTCAATGGCTTCGAAATTGACACGCCTGCCTTGAAAGATCAAATCTCATTCCCTTCTCCATCGCATCGTGACGAGCACCTTGAGCTTGCCGATGAGGAGAGTATCACAGCAACCTGGAGAGCACCATCTTCTGGGGATTCAGTCACGTACAATGTCTATATGGGAAATTCGTCTGATGCCCTAAATGTTGTCAAAGAAGGGCTGAGCGAGACACAGGTCGTCCTATCAGGTACAGTACCCTGCCCCAGTGCAATTGTCGACTCACTCTAACCTAGCCAGGGCTGAACACGATGGATACTTTCTACTGGCGTATTGATGTGGTCTCTGGGGACAGCACGTATACAGGTCGGACATTCATGTTTCGGTTGGCGCAGTTGGCTTTCCCTGGAGCCGAGGGATATGGGTGAGTTTGAGCGCAAAGCTAAGGAACGCGTCGATTGTTCACTTAATAACATGAGACAGTCGCTTTGCCCGTGGTGGTCGCGGTGGCAAGGTCATCAAAGTCACCAGCCTGGAGGACAGCGAAGAGCCAGGAACACTGCGTTACGCGTTGGCTGTCGCGACTGGTCCCCGGATTGTCGTATTCGATGTGGGTGGAGTCATCACGATCGATTCGCGCCTCACGGTGAGTGACAGCCATGTGACCGTGGCCGGTCAAACAGCACCTGGCAAGGGCATCGCCGTCCAAGGCCACCCGTTAGGTCTCTCGGGTGCATCCGATGTGATCTTCAGGCATGTGCGGGTCAGACCCGGGACTAGCTCGAACGAAACGGTCGATGGCATGGGCATGGCGGGATCGAATTACTGCATTCTGGACCGCTGTTCAATGGTGAGCTTTTTGTACCTCCAAGATTGTTGTGCGTAGGGATTAACCAAAGCCATAGGGATGGGGAATCGACGAATGCTTCTCGTCACGCACAGCCCATAACATCACCTTTCAGCGCAACATGATTTCAGAACCCCTCAACGTCGCTGGACACAAGAACTACCCTGCTGGAACAGCCCATGGGTATGCAGCAACCATTGGCGGCGATGTCGGTTCCTTCCACCACAACCTGATTAGCCATGCGGAAGGCCGCAGCTGGAGTATGGGCGGCGGTGTCGACGACAACTCGACCTTCGCGGGCCGCCTCGATATTCGCAATAACGTGGTGTACAACTTCGGTATGACTGTCCGTTCTACCCTGTCTACCTTTGGTTAATAACTCAGTAGGCTCGCGTGTCACCGACGGCGGTGCTAAGGAAGTAAACTTCGTTGGCAATCTGTACAAGCAGGGCCCTGCTAGTGAGCTAACATATGATCTGAAAGCTACGGTGAGCGATCCGGGTTCGATTGATGCATCCTGCCGTGACTAACCAGGATGGGTGATACAGTACGAGGATAACCTGCCTGGAACCCAACAGTATCACTGTGCTGGGAACTCAATGCCCGACGTATTTGACCAGGATTCCGTTCAATACCCACCCGGAGATGGTACAGGGCAGACCTCTAAGATCGCCTGCTTTGCAGACGTCAGTATTGACCCAGCGCCTGAGTACCAAAGATTCTTCGACGAGCCGTATGTCCAGGGCCCTTGATCATATTCTCCCTTCCCCCCCCCCCCCAACCCGGTCAGAGTCACTAAAACAAATCCTGAAATTAGTTTCTTTCCCTCGTACATCGAAGAGCATACCTCTACAGAAGCATACAAGCGTGTGCTCTCTGACAGTGGTGCCAGTCAGCCCGTGGTCGATGACCATGACAAGCGTATCATCCAGGAGACCCTGAATGGAACCGCCACGTACAGCGGCTCGAAGACCGGAAAGCCCGGGCTGATCGACAACGAAGCGGATGTAGGTGGACTCGAGGACTTCCCAACCACTACGCGGCCCACAAGCTGGGATGCCAACGACGATGGCATTGCCGATTGGTGGGACGGTTCCACTGGTGGAGATGGCTATACGGCGATTGAAGGCTATATCAATTTTATGGCGGACCCGCATGTGTTTGTGGCACCAGGGGCATCGGTCAAGTACGATTTGGCCGCTCTCGCTGGCGGATTTTCTAAACCAGCTTTCGAGGTATCCGGCGGCGAGTTCGGCTCAGTCTCTGCAGCCGACACCGTGGCAACGTACACTGCCGGTGACAAAGCTGGAGTGGACCGATTCAATGTCACCATTTCTGATGACGAGGGCAGTACATGGGAGAGGTCAGTGGGCGTCGCCATTTTTGAGGGCGCTGATTCTGTGAAATGATAGCAAGCGAGGTTATCAAAGGGACTCGATGTTTTACAGTGATGCTCTACCGGGCTGTATCAACTGGTGTTTACAGTCATCGGCGGCTATGTACAATCCAAGGATACAATGAACTTTCGTAGATTTAACGATGATTGTTACTAGTATCTCAAGCCTATAGTCATCGGTGCAGCTTTATAGCGGTAGTAAGTTAGATATTGGGCTGCTGGACATCAAAACCATATCGTGAAAGGTCATCACTCTCCAATCAGGAGATCGCAACTTGCGACACGTCAGCTTAGATAGGTTCTGAAATCATCCCGTCGCCCTGACCGGACATTGCTTCTCCCATGACAAATGTCGATAGTGGGTTGACGGAACTTGGGTTTGACTAGGTGCCAATCGAATCGACTTTACATGTTCGAAACAATGAACATTACATATCCTGGGGCATCCCATCTGATAGCGGAGGTCCGACATAAACTAAAGAGAAGTTAGCAGAGGAAATTCCTCGCGTTGAGAAAGACGCTATACCTTTCCTCGCGTGAATTATATACCATAAGAAGGCCAAAGTCGTGAACCCTGCGAAGACCACCGACGCATAATTCATGGACACCGGTGTGACGGGCAAGGTGGAAGGCATACTGAATAGGACGAGCTCAAAGGCAATCCACGCTAGCGCGATGAGGTTCACCATGGTTCCTAGCAGTCGACCGCAGTTCCACCTTGCTTTAGATACTTCGGAGCGCTTGTTGTAAAATAGGGAAATGCTGATTGGAATGGAATAGGTGATCGCCAGCGCAATCACACCAACCGAAACAAACGCCGTAAAGGCACTGCTACTGCCTAGGTTGATCAATCCCAAGAGCATTTGTACTACGGTCACCAGACCCAATGCCCACAGGGGGACGCGGAGACGATCATCGACCCGAGAAAACAGCCTCGACATGGGGAGGGCCGTATCTCGGGCGAGAGCCCACGTACAACGAGATGCGGCGTTGGTAATGCTGACGGAACAGAAGAACCCGACGACCAGAAGAAGAGAGACAAGACCGACGGCACCCGCCCGCGTCCCCATTACCACCTGAAACACATAGGGAATCGGTTGGCCGCTTGGTGCATTGGTAATATCGACCAGTCCGGGGAGAGTGGCACACAGAGGGATCACAAAGAAAAGGCCGGCGGTGCCACCGACCGGGATGCAGAGGGCCATGGCCTTGGGCACCTTGATCGCTGGTGCATGTACTTCCTCTGCCATCGAGGACACCATCCCGATCGCCGAGAAGACAAAGGCCGGGGGTAACAGACCGATACAGAATGAAAAGTTTCCCCAGCCGGACAGGGAGGGATCATACTGCGCAAGGGTATCGGAGGGAGAGTGTCTGCCCGCTTTGGCGGAGACCGAGACTGCTACTAACACTACCAGGATGCTCACCAGAGTCCAACCGGCACAAAGGGTGTCTACAAGGGGAAGAAAGCGGTTCCCGAAACCACACATCGAGAAGGCCAGGATACAGATGGCGTAGAGGACCAGAAGGAGCTGCCAATCAGTGGCTTCCCAGCTGGAATAGAGGGACACCGTAGCCACTAGGAGTTGCGCAAATGCGAAATTTACCCCGAGGGTGATGGTCCAGTTCCCAATCAGCCACACCCACGCTGTCATGAATGACAGGAGCTTGGCATGTTTCCCGGATAGCTGGAAGGACCAGTAGTAAGGACCGGCGGAGGTGGGATATCGAGAGGCTAACTCGGCGAGCGACATGGCCACGCACTGATCCATGAGGCAGACCATAATCCAGCCCACAAAGATTGAGAGTTGACCGCCGCCATAGATGGCTTGCATGAGTGCAGCACTTTCGGCGAAGGGAATTCCCGCAATGGACAGCGATTGGAACAGGAGAGTAAACAGCGAGCGGTTTCGACGGAGTTCCGAGGGGATATACCCCAGCTCCCCAAGCGCGTGATCCGGGTCATCCTGGAGCTCCAAGGGTTTCTCTAGATTGGTCTTATCGGACATTTTAGGGTCACGATCATGAGGAATACAACTTCTGAGCATCATGCTCACGGACTCTGTGGGCAATACATATCGGATACATACTTATAGAGCAAGTGCCGTAGGGGGTATGTAAGAGCCAGTGGCAGGTCACACACTCCTTCTCGTTCTTGTCTATCAAATCCGCTGTCCCTATCATTGGTCCAGCCGGGGGCCAGATACCAATACATAGTCGAAAGGAAGGTATAAAGACGTCACTTGAAGGTCGCATAGTTTGGAGAGGCGGTAAATATTGCGCGATTAGGTCAAGCACTTAAGATAGCGTCGCGAAAACGCGGGGAGAGCTTCGCATCCGAGCTTCCCGATCTGCACTCCGCAAGGGAGAGAGCCTCGCCTAAACCCTTTGGGGGAATGTTAACCTTGTAGACTTTGGAATCTCCCCTCATTGTCTCCACTTCTGGACTACTATCGGCTCTTTGCGATTGGATAAGATCAGCCCAGTTGCGATTGGATACGTCACCAAAGTTCGACATCCAGAGTCATGGTTGAACACGAGCTTGGTGAATTTACATTATAATCGGCCTAGTACTTAATGTGCGCACTGCCCAACAAGAGAAGAAAGCGAACACAGTGCTCCATTGCTCGGTGTTGTATGTAGAAGATGAATCTAGAAAATCCATAGTGCACAACACCGCCCAAGCAAAAAGGTCGAAAGATGGCTGGCCTTCTCACGAAGAGACGGTTTAACAGTTTGGATTGTGTAAAAGATTCAAACTTTGACTGCGGGAATGAACCTTTCTACGGGCAAGTACGTTGCAAAGATGAACTATGTAACTCTTCAACGTTATACAGTCTTAAGTCCAATGACATGATTTCTCTCACTGAAAAGCATCAGGACACTCTTCCAGGAAGTCTTGGTATGTTCGCGGACGGTGTCCAGCCCAATCCTCAATAACTGTATTTGACGCAGGCTCGTATCTACCGGAGTTGTACATCTGGGAGAGTGTGGTGAGTGTGTCGGCTAGGAATTCTCCCATTCCAGCTTTCAGAAATCGTTCCTTGGCCTCAGAGTGGGAAACCAGATGGTATCGGATCTCCCGGTCAAGATGTCTGGAGATCAGACTGGCACAATCCACATATGAGAGTGCTTCGGGGCCGTGAATGACCAAAGTCTCACCGCGGTGTTGCGCATGGGTGAGAACAGCGGCTGCAACCTCGGCAACGTCACGTACATCCACCATGAATATACCAGCTTCTGATGTGACGGAAGAGGTCATGGTCCTGTTACGACCAATCTCGTCAGAGAAAGTCATGCTTGTAGTCTGCATAAATGTGTGGGGCTCCAAGATGGTATACGGGATTCCACTCGCAGCAAGGTAAACTTCTATGGCGTGATGCTGCCGACTGAGCAACAAGGGCGAGTCTTCTGCGGCTGTCCAGGCGGATAATTTGGTAATGCCTTTTACGCTTGCATCTTTCGCCAGGTCGATGATATGGTTCTCGACTTCAAGCTGTTCTTCTGACGGTGCTGTTAACAGAAATAGCTGATCCAAGCCCGCGAGAAATTTGTGGAGGTCGACATCGTTGCTGTAGTCTCCAATTTGGACCTCCACATGAGGAAGAGCAAGCTGAGTTGCCCCTTTGAAGTGGTGAACAAGCGCACGAGTTGCATGTCCTTGACCACTCAGCTTCGATACCAGTAAGCTGCCAATCGTACCGGAGGCTCCAAGAACGCCGATCATGGTTTGATGGTGCTTAAAAGCCGTTGTGGGAGCCGAAAGGATTAGGTAAAGGGCGAAATCTGTATCAGTTCATGTAGAGCGAGAAGGATTTCGAGCATCAGGTAGTCTCTTTGTTCTTATACATTTGGAGAACCAAGGTACCATCGACCGGCCGTGGCATGACCAGCAGGGTCCAGCCCCCTTACCCTCGGGCTCCAGACGGGACGAGGATGTGCCGGTCTGATTGATCGGTCCGGTGTGTTGTTCTCCAGAAACAGACCACCTGTAATCCTTGATCCTTCATTTCTAAGTGACATTAGCTATAGGCAGTTGGATCATGAATTTAGTACGTAGTCTAATGGTGTCAAATCCCCAGAAAGAAAGATCATTCGCGGGGTACCTCCCGTCAATGCTCAGTGACAGTGAGCTACCACGAGCCCAGGATTTATACTAAACCTCATATAGTATAGCTCTTGTATATTAATATAACAATAGTTAGATCTAGGCCTCGCCATGGGTCAGGTTTGGTTCTAATATTCGGATCGGTGCCAGAGTTGATCGGGTTCTCCGCTAGACCCGACCCGATATCAGCTCTCTACCATAGTGATTCTTGCTGTTAGAATGTGTGGGCGCTCTTTAGATGGATTATCTGACTGCAGATGTATGAAGACAAATAGTATAAGACGTCACAATCCTAGTCAAGCACCTATCGGCTCCTGGGTTTCCCAGTCCCAGCAGACCTCGACCATGGATAGGTGTAGTGGGAGTGGTGTGACCGTTAAGCCATGCATATAATAGGTAGCCAGCCGCCATAGTCTAATCCGACTAGTTTCTCCATTCGCCCATGAAGCGTACCAGCCGGTAGTTGTAGGAATGTACAACGAAACGGCCTCAACGACTATCGGAATGTAGTAGCCGTGGGACAACCTACACCCGCTTTGCAATAGCTGGCCTATGTGGGCCGAGTCATACCGATATATCAAGTATTCACGCACAGCGGCAGATTACACCATGGAATCCTCCAGTTTGAGTCGATCGCTCTCCCGTTTGACTATTACGAGTGGGCCAGAAAGCGACAAACGCCCCAACAAGCCTATCTCTCACGACCACCCGGTCCGCGAGGCTCCGGAATACCGATTTGCTAACATGACCGCCATTAGCGTTGACAGTGCGGTATGCACGCTGCACCTGGCAGATAAATTGAAAGAGGCCGCGGTCGTCGTGCGGGACTTCTTGCGACGTGAACCGAATCATCGGGTGCTACAGTACAGGCATGCGTGCTTGTTGAAAGAGCTGGGTGCCTACGCTGACGCCCGCATGGCTTACGAGAGGTTTCGTGCTCTATCCGTCACGGTCCCGGTTGGGGTGATGCTTGACATCGCTGAGTGCTTTCTGCACGAACACGATTACGCCAATGCTGTAACAACACTCAACGAAGCCTGTCTCAATGAGCGCAGGGGTCTGATCATTGCGAGTCAGGCTCTGCGCTTCTTGGGACGTCCGGCAGAGGCAGAGGCGTACTGCTTGCACTTGCGGACCCGCGACGGCTTGTCTTCAGATGAAGAAGTCGCCGAGTATGGGTTGGCGCTTTTTCAGCAAGGCAGGGATGAAGAAGCGTTGTCCTGTTTACGCGGACATCCGGAGGTTGACCAGCTGGCCGTGCTCCTCTGCAACTTGGGTCAGCACGAAGAAAACATCAAAACGTACAACTGCGCATCCGTTGCCGAACATCCCGGTTTGGCGCGTTGGCTGGCCATCAGTCATGCTGCCCTGAGGAACTGGCCCGACGCAGAGCTGTTCGCACGGGTGGGACTTGATGGAAATCCGGAAGACCAAGAACTTTGGAGCCTCTTGCAAACGGCGTTGGCCAAGCAGAATGCCGGGGCGGGCGATGCTGAAGCACGCATGCGTGCGCACCTAGCGCACCTCCACGCCAGCGAAGCACTAGAAGATTACCTCATGGCGCTGGCCAAGCGCGCTGGCGCAGCCAAACCATCCTGGGATTTTGTGTTAGCGTATGCCGCCTATCATGGTGCCCGTCAAGCGCTCCCCCTCTATGAGGAACATTTCAGTGGGACCACTGATGCCGGGTATCTGCTGCATATGGGCGAGCGCTTGATAGACTGGAGTGTGTTTCATGTTGGCGCACCCATGGTGTCCCTTGACACAATGCGCGATATTGTTGACGGCGCTGCGTTGCTTAGAGCCGCGGCGACCAAGGCGTTTCTAGGCCCCCGCAGTCAGGTGCGCCGTGCGCGTCTTGGGGATCTTTTACAGACGTTGGATGCCCATGGGGCGATGTTGGAACAATTTCGCATCTTGACGACGCCGGTCCCCGACGACGCAGGCTGCGCGGAGCACCTTGTCGCCGGCGCGCGAATCAGTGCCTACTATCGAGATTACAGCGCAATGTGGGACTGTCTCGAGGCCGCGAAGGACTTGGGTGCCAATTTCGCCCTCCTCGTGGAACTCGGCATGCCTGATGCGGCCCCCCGAGCACGCCACCCAGACGAGCAAAAGGTCCTACACGTAGGACAGGCGTTGATTGACGCGGGCTTGCCCATCGATGCCGGGATTATTGCGTCACTCTATGCACGCGCCTGGAGGCACAGTGCCGATCTTCAGGCTATGGCGGCTCACGCCTATTTCGCCGTGGGAGACTACGCCCTGGCACGAAAGCATTTCAGGGCCCTGAAGGCCCTGCAAGGCCTGGCGTTTTCCATCCAAGACGGCGGCAAACTGGCTGAGTGCCATGTTGGTTTAGGGCAGTACCAGGATGCCTACGATGTCCTCGCAACCTATCCCGGGGTGCTGGACCGCCGCGCTCTATGGATGAAGTTTATCGCCTTATGGGAGCTAGGTCGTGGAACGCTCGCAAATCAGCCCAGTGCGGCTTGTGGTGAATTAGAAGCGCAGGAGCACAAACGCATCGCCGATCTCTTGCGCGCGCACGGTCACGTTCGACAGGCTGATAGGGAAAGCCAATACGAACCCCGAATAAAGGATATTATCGAGGTGAGCCCCAGCGACATGCCGCCCGTTGCGGATTCTTGGCAAGTCATGATTGCGCGCTTGGAAGCAGATGTCCAATCCAACGCCGCCGCGCGCTGCTATGTGCAAAAGTGTATCCCATTCCTCCAACGGATCCCGCGTCTGCCGTCGTTCTTGTCGGCGTACACGCGGGCAATGATCACGAGGTCATCCTATGTGGAATTGGACGGTGAGATCACGGCCGTGAATGGCCAAGAGGGCAATGGTCGCATGGTGGAGATCGCCCTGAGCGTGGCACCTCCCACCCTCTCCTTGCTCAATGCCGCCGTATGGAATACAAGCGATGGTGCAAAGTATGGCAAGAGAATCGCTGACCGCCACGGCGACTTTGAACCACTGCTGGAACTTCATCGCCAAAGTGTTTTTAGCAGGAAGGAATACCTGGAGACATTGCAAATGGCCGCGCAGCGGTATCCGGATCGCTACAACCGTGCGCTCAAACAAGCCACCAAAGAGCAGAAAAAGGACGACAAAGAGATGAGGAAGATAGAAAGGGCTCTAGAGAAAAGCCGGAAAAAAGCAGAGTTGCAACGTCTTCGGCATCCTTTACCAGGCAATTATCCCGAGATGATGACCCTGAGTGACCATGCGACCACGGCCCATAACAATGAACGGTTTCTTGTATATGGTAGCGGCCGCCCCGGGTGAGGGAGCCTCTCGCCCACTTAGGGCTCTCTATCCTTCTTCTCGGCGAAAGAACTGTCCATCCGCAGATGACCTATCCAGTGGGCTCGGAAGTGCGAGCTGCCCTCAACACCGCGTGAGGTGACCGCAAAAGTATAGTTGTATCGCGACAACGGCGGTGATTGCCCTCGAGTCCCCATATATAGCTCTGCCTGGAAGAACTTGAATGTAGATCGGAAGCAGAACAAAGGTGTCATGCTTTAGCATCTCGATGACAGTTGAGTTGATGCTCAGCCTCTATTCAGGATGCTTGGCGCCAAGTTGATCAAATTTCAATCTTAGTCATCGCGGGGTTCAACCCGGCGCTTACGAAGATAAGAAAATCCCAGCACTGTAGATCCACTATTCTTCCACACTTGTCTAGACTCGTCAAGAACTCAGCTCTCGTATTCACACGCCTCTATAGCTCAGTGGGAGAGCGCTTGACTTGTACCTAAGTGATATCAAGAGGTCCGTGGTTCAATCCCGCGTGGAGGCACTTCTTTTTTATTCCCTTATTTTTATCCCAAACTACAAGTTGAATTACCTTGCAGCAGATCCTAGAGTTGATGTTACGGTGCGGATGTATATTTACTGTAAAGCACAGGATAGTAAATTAAATGGTAGGACTACAGTGTTAATCTGAAAAGAGACCGCTTCTGTTTCTCGTGAGTATCTTGTGATATCGGGCCGAGCCTGGACTGTCTGAGATCGTAAGATTTTTACTCTGTATTATTCATAATGAATATATTACTGTCACTCGGTTGTTCTGCTGGAATATCTAGTTCCGCCTTTCGGGCCGCCTGGGGCGTTTCTTCTTGTTATCGCTTGACACTTGTAGCTCAGAATACAATCATCTTCACGCACACGGTATTACTATCAAAGCCGCTACCAATAGTACATCTACAGAGTATGTACCTAGATATCTCAAAGGCCCTGATTCGGTAACTAGTATTTAGTCTTTTTTATGATTATGATTATAATTATAATCGTATACCAAAGACGAAAAAAATGTGCCTCCACGCGGGATTGAACCACGGACCTCTTGATATCACTTAGGTACAAGTCAAGCGCTCTCCCACTGAGCTATAGAGGCAGATATGTGGTTGACAAGCGGCTATCTGTGAACTAGTTCGACCCATCAAAAAGCTCATAAAAAGGGCAATAATCGAGCAAAATCGAGAAAATAAAACAAACGACGCTGGTGCCCAGATCTATTACAACCCATAAAGACAAGACCCAATTCGTGACGTAGTCATGTCAAAAATATTTGTGAAAGAATGAAGGATATGAGTTCCCAGATCAAAAGGTAAAATTCTGGAATTTCTATTACATTCAGGAACAAAGAGCCTTTAGGCATCTTATACTATTGATTACATGCGTGGCAGAAGAGGTAACACGCAGAAGGATATCTAAGGAGACTGACTTCATATATGGCGAGACGGGAGAACAACAATTCTCTAGGATTTGTGTTGCCCCCTGTTTCTGTAATCGACACACCCTCTGCCTCTTTTCTCTCCAGCTCTCTTGTTCTCCTCCTGACTCTCAGCCTTACTCATTCACTAGCAACCTACCTCACTTACTCCCTGCCTCTATTCTGTTGTTCGCTATTGCGAAGCCTTTCATACCACCAACCATCACTGTGTGTGATCGCGTGCTAGCTCGGTGTCTCAAAGGATGCCCTATCGCTCGACATTTTCAACTCCAAGACGGCCACCTCGTTATGTCAAGAACCAGGAACAGGATTCAGCAGAAGTGAGACAGCTATGGGAGGGACAGAGGCGTTCGCCAATTGGGTCCATAACACAGTTGACCCAGATGTTCGGGCATTGAGAGGTCCAATCATCACTGTGGAAGTGTGAGTGATAGTCCTTTCTCGAACCCATCAACCTGGGAAGAACCCCACGGAGGCTACCCGGACTTCGGTACACAAGCGTTCTTGCCAACATATCTACGCAACTACGTTGGTCAGTCCAATAAGCCTTTCTCTCGCCATACGGTCGTGCAGCTTCTATGATTCACCAGATCACGAAATCCGTGAAGGGGCACTTCACCGCAATAGCGGAAATCATCAGCTCCGCCGGGTGTTTTACTGTTCAACATTGTACTATTTCATTTGACTTGGAGCATCAGGCAGCGGACGATAATTTCTTCCGGGTAAAAGCCGAGCTTTCACCCACAGGCGAACGACATCCCCAGGTATGGGCTACGGCAGCCCAGGAGCAGGGCCCTGGCACTCGCCTAGCACATACGACGCCGAGAAAACGAAGACTTGAAGATCTGGATTCCCGTGCACACAAGCGGGCCAGAGGGCCGGGTGAGGAAGGACTCGAATCAAAGGACTAGGCGACGTTTGGTGCTTTTGAGGCGAAAGGGCTGAAACAACAGATCATGAAGGAACTTTTGCTACAGATGATCAATGCCTCAGATATTATTGGTACCTAGGAATAGGAAGTCAAGTGAGGAACGGCCCTCTTGGATGATGACAGGCCCCTCACCCCCTCTAGGACTGCAGATAAGAATACAGAAAAATCGTTGAAAATCATTTGACCCTTTCATATAATTTTAGAGACTTTCTTACAATTTAGAATGCTAGGGTGGGGCCTTAACCATGACCATACCTCACGGGAAGATACTTGGAGATTGTAAATTATATATCTCGGATCCTTGAGGTTGGAACAAAACTTCCGTCCAGGGGAAAAGTGCGAATTTTGTCGGAAGTTCACATAATTATGAAACAATTTTCTTTGTCGACAGAGACCTAAATGATTGAATTAATATGATAATAATAATAATAAAAATTTGGGTAAATTCCACGGAATTTAAATACACAATCGATCGTAGGGCTGTAGATATGATTAGACTCCCGCGATGCCGGTGTCACGTGAATGTGTTGTTTACTTTTACTGTTGGCTCGGACTATACAATTTCTCTTTTTCACTTTCACTCTCTCCTTAACCACGGACTAAGGTCCCGTTCACGCACGGAATACCAACGCGATGCTGATTTCTTCCAGTTGTTCTTCTCCGATCAGAAGAGTAGTCCCGAAAGTCTTTCAACTATCCAAAATACCAGAGACTCAGAGCCCAGCCCGATTATGGCACCAACCCAGTCCCCGCTCAACTCCACACGACCATCGGAATCAAGGCTTCAGGACCATCTACCCGTTCCGACGCATCCACACTCAGTCCGATTCAAACCACAAAAATGTATCTCCAACTCAACGGTTGTTTGATTTATCCCTCAGCTTCTCGCGAACACCGCTGAGCGGCAATACAAACATGCGATACACGCGCTACAATGGCCGTGGCGTGGCGATGCCCTTCAGCAAGCTGACGAAGCTCGACATTGTGAACAAATATGGTCTAAGCGCACGCGATCTGCGGACGCTCGATGTGCCATCCGATGGATTCCCACATATCCTCATCCGGGAATCCACCCTGCTGATCCATATGTTCAATCTGCGGCTGCTGGTGCAAGCCGACCAGATGCTGGTCTTTCACCTGGACGAAACAGCTCCTCCAGAGTCCGATACGATCTCACGCGTCTTCCTCCGTGATCTGGAGTCGAAACTACGCGGCGACCCCGGCTTGGGAGTGTCGGTGGGCTTGCCCTACGAACTGCGCGTTCTCGAGGCGGCGCTGGCGGCGGTCACCTCTACTCTCGAAGCGGAGTATGTGCTAGCCAAGGATCAAGTCATGCAGACCCTACGCATGGTGGACAAGGAGGAACGCGAGATCCATTCCAATTTACGAACATTATTAGAGCTTGTGCGAAAACTCGCGGCGACCGAAAAGCGTGCGCGGCAGGTCCGCAGTGCAGTTCAAGACGTATTGAATACGGATGAGGATATGGCTGCGATGTACCTCAGCGATAAACAAGCCGGGAAGCCTCACCATGTGGAGGACCATCAGGATGTGGAATACTTGCTGGAAGCGTACTACAAGGCGAGCGATGCGGTCGTCCAGGAAGCGGCGAGCCTGATGGGAACGATTCAACAGACGGAAGAGAGTATACAGTCGATCCTGGACGTGCGACGCAACCAGATCATGGTGCTGGAAGCCAAAATCGAGATCCTGATGTTAGGAATGGCCGTGGCAACGCTTGTAGCGGGTTGGTATGGCATGAATGTCGTGAACTACTTCGAAGAGAGCGGCACGGCCTTTGCCGTGCTGGTTACATCCTGTCTGGTCGCCATCGCCTTCCTTTCGCGATATGGCTTCCGGCAGCTGCGGAGGATTCAGAAGATGCATCTATAGAGCGACGATCTTTGGCCGCCACCGTGCCATACACAACTGGGGTTTTCCAAGGACAAGGACGGCATGCCGGAAAAATGGGCGTTTGAGAGAAACAACTTCAATATGCCAATGATTTTGGGGTCTCAAGGTGTGTATTGAGCGGCATACTGCTTGGGCACAATCTACACATCGGAGGCTCAAGTTACGTCTTGGGCTTCCGTTAGACCATTCGAGAGGATTCTGGATCACCGCGCTAATCATGAAGTGGGAGGGTTTACTGTGTCATCCCTTCAACCTCTGCGGTCAACGTGTTAACGGTTTAACTTCTCGACTATCCACAAAGGTTGTAGGCAACAATAACCTAATAGTCATGTCTGGACAGAGTGAGAGGGATTTTACTCGCGCCCCTTCCACAGGACAGTGGAATATTGGAAGACATCATACAGCTCTGGGTCGCTGTAGACAGTGATGCGGATGTCAGCGGGTACGATGCCATAACGCCGGCTACAAAGTGCGGCATTACTAGACACCTCGAGGACCTCCGAAATCAGGTACGCGACGACTCGAGCAATGCCCCCGACAGATTCCTCTTCCATGGTCACAAACTGACCGGCGACACGAGACTCTAGGAAATGCTTGATCTTGCGACTCACATAGTCCGCATCGAAGTGAGGAATTGGCTCCGCACCCGATTGTGTTAAGCAGCAGTGGCAATAGATATTCAGTAACTTTCCCGCCGTGGGCTTTCCGAATAGAGCATCGGCGATCAGCGAAGGCGTCCTGAACGATACAGAGGGAAAGACAAGTCGCTCCAGATAGCTGAGGATAAGCTCATTGATCAGGTCAACCACACGATCCTTCCAAGAGTCGACAAAAACTGCAAGTGGCCGGGTTTGACTCGCGCTGGTCTCGATACAGACGCCTTGACTGGTCGCTATCTCTGGAGGCACATGTGGCTTAAATGGGTGAAGTCGTAACGCGTCCAGCTCCTGCGCCCGAAGGATGTGCGCTCCTGGGGGATATGGTCCAATGCAAGCGGACTCCGGTGGGGGTGGCGGGCAAAGAGAAATCATGTCGGCGTTGTCCGGAGGCGCAGAATGCATCTGCAAGAACTGTAACCCTGAGAAGTCAAAGCCCTCCCGAAGCCGCCGCTCAAACCGTTCTACATCTGTCTCTGGTTTCCGTAGAGGGCGGCGGTGCCCGACAAACGATGTCCGAGTGAAATCGGTGCTCCCGGAGAAGAAAAGAAAGGAGTGAGCAACGCGGTCGTCGTTGAAACTAAATCGGCCGAACTTGTACTCGGCCATTGGAATTCGCATCCACACTCCAGCTTCGCCCCCGCGCCGTCCATCCGGCGATTGTACCTTCCAAGCTGCGACTTGACTCTTCGCTTGGGCGTAGTCCACAACCCCGACTGATTCAGAGGCCTCGACATCCACACGTCTACGCTCTCGATCTGGCCCGTCCGACTGTTCATTGAGCTCGTCCCGACCGCGAGCATCGTAGTAGCCCCAGTCATACCGATTGATCACGAGCACACCCGCCGCGCTGGTCTTTTCATTGTTCATGGTACTCCCACAGTCGGGTTCGTAAGGAGAACCCGAAACGCGAAGGATCCGCGCAATCTCCCGGTCGGGGTCAACGTCCGAGTGAGATAGAAACCAACCCGACACCATTTCAGTCTCAATATCAACCAGTTGGAAGGCTTGCCATCTGCCATTTCGCGCGGGAACGTTGAACTCCAGATGATGTGCTTTCACGGTCCCCGACCGGTGAGGCTGAATGCCAGGGAACCCTTGGATAGGCGCCAAGCTGCCGGACCATAGGTTGTGTAGTTCGCCGAAGCATAAACATCCTGATTTTGTAAAGAACGTCGCGTAACGTTGAGGAGTGGTTACCATCGTTGTGGGGGATTCTTTAGCATATCCCAAAGGCTCTAGAAGGCAACAATCAGGCCACGTACTCTGACGATGCAAGCCGCTGGTCACATACAGGTACGCGGGAGATGAATCAGCTATGCAGTGCAAGGTTGTCCAGCTAACTATCGATCAGGAAGTCCCACTGTGGGTCATCTTCAATGCCAAGATCGTATGCCGCCTCTTGAAGGGAGAGAGCCGTCTGGTTAATGTCAGTCTGAGCCGATCTCATGAAGCGACGGAGAGGAATAGATGCGTGTCACGAAAAGGTCACTGGGGAAACTTCGACCGAGCACAAAGTCCGTCCAAGTCCACTATTGTTCGCAACGTCGTTCAGAGTATCGATTGGCAATTGCAGTGACACGACGGTGACTTCTGCGGCGTTTCTGTAGATTCTTCATCCGGTCGCATATCTCGATCGTTAGCCCTTCTTTGATCCCAAGAGCAACAACCTCCCCTGGCAGTCGCAAAAAGGGACCTCGTGGACTTTTTCTTTCACTCAACCAAGGAAGCACCTCCGGCCACGGTCCCGGTATCGTACGTATTCGTGATGCTAACACTGGAAAGAGGGGCCGAGAACTTCAAGAAGAGGGAGAGAAGAGCATTGATCTTTTATCATGCACCTGGTTTATGCTACTAAAGTCATTCGATATCAATATGGCTTCAGGCACAGCATTTCGGTGCCAGAAGCCGTACACGGATACCCTGGATTTCCGGCTTTGTCCAGATGATTCCAAGCCCGCGGTGAGATTATACAAAGCTCCACCGAGCAAGGAACCAAGAACCCATCTGAAGTACACACCTCTGTTCGATCGGCTTCCGCTCGAAGTGCTCCACTTGATCTTTCTCAATCTTGATCTACCCAGTCTAGGGATGTTGCGTCGAGTCAGTATGAGAGGAAGGCGTTTAGTAGAATCGCTTCCTGCCTACTCCTTATTGAGGGCCTTGGCTTCCGATACACTGCAAATCATGGATATAACCAAGTGCTCTTCATATTTCCCGATCGGTTGGCTTTTTACTGAGTTCTGCTATCCCTGGTGCCGGACATGTACTGATTTCGGGCCTCTTCTTTATTTCCCGACCCTGACCCGTTCCTGTTATAAATGCAATTTTCTCCGAGCCGAGTACCAAGTCGAACCCACACGTGATGTCTGTTTCCGGTTCGGTTTGACTCAGGCAGATATGCGTCGATCATCGCTTCCAATTATTAACCAACCTGAACAGTACCGACCCCGGTTAGTGGATGTTACTCAAGCAAAAGCCTTGGGCATAGAGCTCCACGGGGGCGAAAAGGAAATGGAGCGGGCGTACCATACTCGACTGAAGGAGCGCGAAAGAGATTACCAATGCCGGATTCAGCAATGGAAAAAACACCGGCGTCAAGGAACCTACACTGGTGGACGACCCCGGCGCCATTTGAAGCCAACATCACTAGATGAGAACGAAGACAGTGAGGAGCCCTCATGGAGAATGCAGGCAACTGCGACATTTCCATACTGGGACGTCCGGACACAAATTTTGGAGCCAGGCACCTACTGCAGGGCTTGCACGTATCACTGGGAGGAGGGAAAGGCAAATGACAGGAGACGCATGGAAACCATGTGGCATCCACACCCTCCGAACAGAGAGGCCTATTATCGAGCATTCTTGGAGGCTGATTTACCTCAACATTTCCTCAATTGTGTAGCACTCAAGGCGAATTATAATTTTCGAGTCAGACGTCCGAGGAAATTTAACAGGGATGGGACTGACTTTATTGTTGGACCCAAAAATAATACTGATATCTGATAGCCATTACGGATGTTGACGTGTTTGCGTGGGAGACTTTAGAGTCTCATCATGGTGTTAGTCTAGACACTGAATGAAGCATCATGTTGATGAAGAACCTGATGAAGGGGATTCTCAAAGGGCAGCCGAAAGAAATATTTTGCGTAGAAGTGCAGTCTAACTTACTGGATGCTTGTAGTTGATCATTGGGATATATTAGAATCATATCCATACATAATAGAAGGACACGCAACTGAGAACCTCTTTCGTGTAGCCTACTCCGTCCTCAATCAATCAATCAATTAAGATTCTATTAACTTGCTCGAGCTGAACTACTGAATGTCTAGCTATGCAGGTATATCAAAAGAGTCTACGGAGTAGATAGTCCTAGATAGTATAACCCTGCAACTTATCTTATCGAAGACGGTCACGAGTGGCAGAATGATGCCCCAGGGCATACACCACCCCAGCGTAAGACAAATTCCAGGATAGAAACTGTTCTAGAGAAGAGTTATTTTAGAGTAAAAACAATCTCAGAGTAAAAGATATCTTAGAATAGCGGCTATAGTATAGATAACTATAATATTAATTTCTCTGTTATATATCAAGATTTATTTAATATCTATAATATTATAGTGTAAATAATATATAAGAACTAAAACTAAATAATAATACTTATTTACATACTTAGTTTAGTTTTTTGTAATTGATTTACTTATTCAATATCTATATTTTAATTGCTACCCCTCTCCCGATCGTAACGAGTCCGGCATTGCCTAGATCTTGATGGAGAAATTCAGGAATCAATCGACATAAGTACAAATATGATTAACCAAAGAAGGAAGGTAAGCCTTGGTATCCTGTTGACCCTGTTGTGGATGAGGATTCTGAAGTGCCTTGCACAGTAGCTCCGGAGATCTGGATGGTATAGTCCAGCCCTTGCTGAACCTCCTCAGTGAGCTTGAATGCATCATACTGGTAGAGTGTGTTGGGGGTATTGGCAATCACGACACTGGCCTCTTCATTGCTCGTCAGGGTAGCCGAGCCTGACCCATTCTCGAGCGAGACATACCGAACAGTGCCCGTGTTGGTGTTGCGGATAGCAAGCGTTGCAGAGAATACCCCGTCGGTAGCAATGCTAACTTGAACATGGCCAGTTCCAGTATTGCTGAGGGGAATGATGTTGGCACCCATGTACTGTGGCTTGCGAGAAGACTTGACCACATAGGCACCGTCGCCTTGGGAATCGACATTCGCATAGTTGAGGCCGCTCCTCTGGTTGAGGAATGCTTTCTGAGCAATTGTGTGGCCGATATCCACGTAGGCCATGCGAGCCCAGTAGCGACCGACGATTTCCTGGGCGGATGCGGCCGTCGAAACGCGCGCAAGGGTATGGAGAGGAGTTTCATTGCTGCCCTTCGCATATTGTTCGAACAGCTGGCGAACAACATCGCTGCCCAAACCCGCATAGTTGTCCGGGTTGTTGGTCAAATAAGTCAAAAATGGCCACGCCTGGTAGTAGTTGCCACTCCCCGTCGAGCCATCCACAATGACCTGAAAGGAGTCTCCGATCACTTTGTTGAGCTCGATCATGCTCTCACCCGTCGGTTGGTTGTGGTTGGACCTTGCCTGAGCACATAGTGGAGAGGTGTTAAATGTATCGGCCACCCAGTTGGCGACCGTTTCCCACCATGCACCTGTCGCGGTCTGGTCTACCCAGTTCCGACTGTGATAGGTGAGGGCATGACCATACTCATGGACGGTGACTCTCGGATCCGCGAGCGAAGACGGAATCACCTCCAGCCAGCTGAGACCGGTGTTGGGGTCCGACTTTTGCACGCCTGCGGCACCGCCCAGATCATTTACCTCGTAGACATTTTCCTTCCACAGTGTCGTCACGGTGTTGGGGTCCGCGTTATATGGGATTCCTGAAGTGGTCCACCCAAGGTCACCGACATAGCAGCTATAGGCGGCTTCAAGCATAGTTAAAACCGCGTCGGCATTGCCCTGACCCGACGAGTAGAGCCGAAAATGGTCGGAGTCCTTGTAGCTAGTTCCTCCAGGGCCAACATTGGGATTAGCCGTGAATGATGTTGGCTGAGCAGTAGAACTCGCTTGCGGGGCCGGTACTGCAGAGGCCTGAATTGCCGACAAAAGAAGTATCGGAATGATCTGTTTCTTGGACGCCATGGTGTTCGAATAGAAGGAGATAATGGATTACTGCCTTCATGTAGGCGCCAGGTCCGCATTTATTTATACCGGTCCCGGTAGTTCGAAACGCAGGACCCCAAGTGTGCCAAGAATCACTTGAAGCAACAATGGTGGTCGTCGATCACCTGCTTCAGGGACCAACATTAATTTGAGACATTTCAAGACAGCATGTCCTGCCGTGCTCCTCAACCGCAGTACCTGAGACCGGATGTATCTGTTCAAGCGTCTTGGCCAAGGAGGAGCCATACTCGAACGGCGTCTTCAGCCAGGCATCGGGGGTTCAGGATACCTAATCGAGCGGAAGTGAAATAGCCCTGGTGATGTGATGTGATGTCCACTGCTCTCTGAAGCCATGATTGGGTCCACCACACGGCCTCTTCCAGCCATGTAAGTCTGCCTAGGGACCGAAAGTACAACCCTCGTTGCGGACCTGACATTAAATCACGAGATTTAGCCAGGATCCAAGGAACTTGCGGGGCAACGGGACATAGCATAGGAGAACTTTAGTGCCGATGGTTTGAGCTTCGAGAGAGCAAGCAGGTTCCAATGAACAGACTTGAAACGGAAAAGGGGGGAGATTGTGGGGATCATCCTCTGTCTCAATTTGAAATCTCTCCCGTCTCCCGTGGTTTCAGACTTATCTTGCTCGGAACATCTTCGGCATTACTGTTGCTTGCTCATAGCTCAACCCTATCAATGAAGCCAAGATTTGTACTTTTGCCCAGCACCTCGGCGAACAGTGTCCCCGCTATGTGTGGACCGATCTTCCTTGGATATTCAGAACTGATCGCTCGGAAAATGCATTTAGCGGAAGTGAAGGCTCCCCAGCCAGGCACGGACATGCTGAACAGTTTTGTTCTCTGAGAAGTTCCCCGTTATTTGGTCCGTGAGCTAACGCTTTTTACTACTCTAAAAGTCTAACCGGGACGGCTCTCAGGGAGGGACTGAGCAGAATTGTGGACTAGGTTCTCTGGACATTTGGGGGTTGAGTGACTAACGAACATGAGGCATTGTAAAGGGCAAACAAAGAAATGAGCCCTAACCGAAGCAATGCGATACGAGCCGAGATGATCACTGCCCGATGTATGGGGTGCAGTGCATATTTATGCTACTAAGAATCTTTGTTACTCAGTCTTATGCAATGCATGGCTTGGAGTTATCCCTGTCTTTTACCCCGCAATTTCTTGGACTTGCATGCACTTCAGATCCGATCCGATCAGTGGATGATGTCTGTCGATTGTCGCTCCACCTGCCCTTGCAAAAGCGCAAGACACTGGCTATACTTGAAGTGTTCGTATTCCGTGATCATATGCAATGCTTCCACCGAACAAAGGCGATCCCGAGATTGAGGCGGTTGATCAGGTTGAAAAACAAGATGGGGACATACTGGCGTCAGCAAAGCCCACTCTGGAACAGAAGAATGTCGGAAGCTTGCAACGCCGCCTGAAATCTCGCCATGTTCAGTTTCTAGCACTCTCGGGCGCTATTGGAACCGGTCTCTTTGTCGGCACGGGCCAGGTGCTGTCGCTGTCAGGACCACTGTCGATGACGCTGGCGTTTGCCATTAGCGGCTTAGATCTCTATGCCGTGATTAACAGCATGGGAGAGATGGCGACTTGGCTGCCTCTGCCGGGTGCTGTCCCTATCTACGGGGCAAGGTTCGTGGATGAGGCCCTCGGCTTTGCACTTGGCTGGAATTACTGGTATCAGTTCGCCATTGGCGTGCCCATTGAAATCAGCGCTGCGGCGATGGTCATTGAATACTGGCCGAATTCCGTGTCGCCTGCCGTTTTGATCACGATACTCTTTGTCCCTATGGTCGTGGTCAATAGTCTGCCCGTCCGGACCTACGGCGAGGTAGAGTTCGTCCTGGGGGCGATCAAGCTGACGACGATTGTAGGCTTGATGTTGCTCATGTTAATCATCACTCTCGGTGGCGCACCCACCCACGATCGGATCGGATTTCGGTATTGGAGCCACCCCATGGAGGAGTATCTCAAGACCGGTGCGCTGGGGCGCTTCCTCGCCTTTCTCAAGGTGTTTGTCCAAGCGATCTTCAGCTACGGTGGAAGTGAGATCGTCGTGGTGGCCGCAGGGGAAACAGAAAATCCGCGACGAAATATCCCCAAGGCTGTACGTCGCGTGTTCTGGCGCATCACGATCTTCTACGTTGGGAGTACTTTTCTCGTCGGCATGTGTGTCTCTGCACGCGACAACCGCTTGCTGAATGCTATCAAATCTGGTGCCAAGGGCGCAGGAGCCAGCCCGTTCGTGATCGCAATTGAAAACGGCGGGATTCGAGCACTGCCGTCTATCATTAATGCGGTTATTCTCTCCTCGGCTGTGTCAGCCGGCAATTCCTTCTTTTATGCATCGACGCGGGTCCTTTACTCGACGGCTCTCGATGGCAAGGCACCGCGGTTCCTTCGATACGAGAAGTTCGGCGTCCCGTATGCCTGTGTGGCGATCACCACCGCACTGAGTCTCCTCGTGTATCTCAATGTCTCCTCGAGCTCCGCCGAGGTCTTCTTTTGGATCAGTAACCTGAGTTCCGTCAGTACCTTGGTTGTGTGGACTGCCATTGGGATCACATACCTCCGATTTCACCAAGCGTTGAAATATCATGGCGTTCCTCGGTCAAGTCTACCTTTGAAATCGCCATTGCAACCGTATCTGGCATACTTTGCTGTCATAGTATCCACTCTGATGGCACTTTTGAACGGATTCGACGCCTTCTTCCCTGGCCGCTTTAGTGCAAAAACCTTCATTCCGCCCTACATCGCTATCCCCATCTTTGGAACCCTGTATCTCAGCTACAAGTTTGTCAAAGGTACCTCAATCGTCAAGATCGAAGAAATCGATCTCTGGTCAGGGAAGGAGGAGGCCGACCGGCTGGAGGCCAGCTGGGAGCAACCGAAGCCTCGCAATTTCCTCGGTATGTCCAATTTATGACCAATGCCCCGAAAGTGTATATGACTGACTTCCGCTAACATGACGTAGAACGAGTCTGGTTCTGGATCGCATGATGCGACGCAGCTCCTCTGCACGTTCGATTTGTCCTTCCTATGTGGTTTTGTCGTGAGCTGTAATGGATCCAGATTTAGCTACCTTGGCCTCGCTTTCAGCGTCAACAGATAATGTTTCACAGTTCGGCTTTACCGATATTTCATTAGTAAGTCTCTAGGTAGTCCCAAAGCGCTATTACTATGCAGTCTATCAACTGTGGAAGGAATGAAACAGGCGGCTGCCTCTTTTGATAAAACATTTGCATCCCACAGAATAAGGAAGGTACCATACAGCTTGAAGGCGTATAAATCCGTGCAATGCGGCCAAGTGACTGTACTCCCAGCTTTTCAGCTTTATTCGACATTTTCTTGCAAATTTTCATACCGAGAAGAGGCTCGTAAGCTGTATGCCCATAGAATACTCGGTTGAAACTAACAGGTTAGAATAGCTACTCACATTCACAACAAAACCAGCGATGTAAGTAGGACAAAGATCATTATCCTGCATGTTGTCTTATATATTGGAGGTGTCATTACATGAGAGAACGATACTTGTGCGGCTGCACGGTCCGTGGGCCTTTTATTCAATGTGAAGAAAGACAAGGTTCCAACACGAAATGCGCTACCCTTCGTGCTCCTGAGGAGCGACCAGTTGGCAATTATTGCCCTGACCACTTGGTTGGGAGGGCTGCAATGGCAGGATACGACCACGAAAATGGTCCATGGTGGCCACTTGGAGGCAACGGTGGCGGGGGAGACGGGGGCAATCAGGGCAGTGGAGGGCCGGCGGGAGCAGGAAGAGGAAGAGGAAGAGGAGCAAGAGGAAGAGGAGCAGGAAGAGGAAGAGGAGCAAGAGGAAGAAGAAGAAGAAGAAGAGGAGGAGGAGGAGGAGGAGGAGGAGGAGGAGGAGGAGGAGGTAGGGGGCCAGCGCGGCGTGAGGAGCCGTCTTCCTCATCTGAAGAGCCCGAGGATGCGGGTGATGCAGATTATGAACAGTAGTAACTATTAAGTATTCACCGAGCAATTGCGTGCTATCAATGGTACTATCTAATAGCCCTAGCAGGCATCGGAGGGCACCTTATCGCTGCCCACCCGACGAGATGCATGGTATTCAGCGCCTTCACCCAAGCCACGCTTAGCAAACGCTTTCCAAATCTCGCACTTGTTAGCACCGTCGGTGAGAGCCTTATCGGCATCAAGGATAGCATCGCGAGCCTGGATGCAGTTGGGGTTGCAGGGTTGCCTAAATGCCAAGATTAGCCCGAGGAATAATTAGAAAAGAGAGGGACGGGGTTGTCACTTACAATGCCATGCCATCAACTACCAGCTTCATGGCAAGATACTTGCCATCAGTCGGAACTCCATCCTTGAACTCGGGCTTGGGGCCGTCGTTCTTGCCGTGCTTATCGATCAAATTCCACAGCAGCTCGTACAACACAGTAGCCCACACGGTGCCGATAGCATGCACTTCGTCCAATTCATTGAGACTAACGTAGGTAAGAGGATTGGTCTCCAAGGAGGTAGAGAATGGGTAAGCACGGATGCCCCCCTTCCTGTTTGCGGCCCATTCACCCATAGTATAATCGGTCGAGTGAGTATCGCCGGACTTCAGCCGAATCGCCGTGGCCATGAAGTCTCCCCAGCCTTCACCCATTCCACCGGATTCAAGGGCATTCAAGCAGCGGGCGTTAGCTGGCCCTCCGGTAAGGCGGTTAGAAACTGCGTACCGTGGTGTTAGTTGAGACTGTCTTATCCTGGGGTTCAAGGAGGATACATACGACCGTGAGTGTACTCGTGAATCACAATACCGGCCTCAAAGGAGCCATCGCGATAAGGCTGGGACTCAGTCCAAATGTACATGCGCATGCGACCGGGCTGTCCATCGGGGGGCGTAGCAAAGTTGGCGTTATTTGTGCCCGAGCCGTCCTGAGCATTCAAGATCACGTAGTCGTTTCCAGCACCTCCTTTACCATTGTTGTCGTACTGGAAGTTACCAGCCTCCTCATTGAAGCCCAGGGTGTAGAGCAGGTCGTGGTACGTGTTGGCAGTGTAGAAAAGCTGAGTAATTGACGCATCGATATAGGACTCTGGGGGTGTCGCGTTGAGCGCATATGGGTACTGGAATTTCAAATCGGGACTATCAGGCCGATAGTTCTTCAGATACTGCGATCCACCGGTAGGGTTCGACTGCGCGATTCCGTTGTTACCGCGAGTGGTGGTATAGTTGTTCTCACCGTCGCTGATCCAGGTAAAAGCAGATGCGGACGAATCCCATGGATCGCTGATGACGGTGCGAGAGCCCTCGGTTGGATCATTCAGGCCCCATGCACTATGCGTATGTGTTAGTCTGATTCCGGAATATCATGAACACTCTTCGAATACTCACTATACTTGGTAGTCTGCTTCAGCTACGTAGTCCACCACACCATGGACATCTTTGCCGGTATTGGCATCAATGTACGTCAACAGCCAGTTGCTGTCAACATCGGTCTCCACCCTCCAGGTCAAAGCAAGGCTGCCGTCTTCCTTCATCAAATAGACTAGCTGAGCTTTCGGATCCGACACGGTGCCGGATACTCCCTTGAAATTGAAGGACTCTTTGTCCTCGGCGGCCTCAGTGGACACTTGATCCAGAGTGATAGAAAGCTGCAAAGCTTCGGAGGTTCCCCTGAGAGCTACCACAGGATCGGTATAATCCCGCTTGGTCAAAGGGTTGGCATCAGGAATCTTGCCTTCATAGAAGGAGTGGCCATAGGAAAAGATCTTTCCATTTTTCCCAACCTTAATGATGCGGTTAGCATGGAACAATGTATAGGTGGACGGTAACATACATTGACATTGAAGTCCGCATTGTCAATATCAAGGCCATGGGCTGTTTGACGGAAATTGACGTGAGCAACCCCATTGCTGCCAATGTAATGATCCTTGACGAGACGAAAAGTGGCATCCGGCAGGATATTCTTCACAAGCTGAGTGGCCGTCTCCACGTAGCTTTGCTCGGCGAATGGAGAGAACGAGGACGAAACATCACTTGAAGACTCAGTCGCGTTGATATACTTTGCCGCCTGGTGCAAACGGAAAGAATTCAAGTCAACTGTGCGACGTTGAAGCCCATGTGCATGATGAGTAGGATGCGCAAGGACGGCCAAAGGTAGGCCAAGGGCTCCAGCCAGTAGAAGACCCCGCATCGTGAACTACGAGGACGTTGGACTCAATGCAAATGATAGAAGATGATCTGTGGAATTGTTCTGCCTTGAAATCTGCAACGCGCAGGCATTATTTATACCAGTTCAATTGGAGATCTCGACGCACTGGGCTCATTGCAAAGAAGCATTTCTTCTTGGCCCGAGACAACCCGGAGCTAGACATATTGTGTACCATCCATCATTGTAGAAAATAAAGCAATCAGCTGCACAGTCAAACTCCTGCAATATCCGACAAACGTCATCTATAGCTGCTCGGGGTTACCTTCATGCACCTCAGGGTGGAGCAATCACCCAGGGGTAGACCACTCCGTGAAGAGCATGCGAAGAATATCCAGGGCCATTGAATAATAGGTATCTCCCCAAAGCAATTGCGACATTGTATTGAAGAAACCACTCCGTCGGCTCTCCGATACATTTATTCAGGGTCTTCCCAAATAGGGCAAGTTGCTAAGACATTAGATTGCTCTTAATTGACGCGGGAAATGAATGCCGAGACTTTTATGCAAGTGCCCAATGGGGGAAAGACGGTGATTCCTCAGAATCATCTTGGCATTCTCTTGGGTTACATGCAGGTACAAACCTCGGCGGCGCTTATCAACGTCCAAATTGTTAGTCCCTAGAACAGAGAACAGGGCCACAGGCATCTTTACCCCACTATTCATACTCTCCATGAACTATCCTTGTCGCTCAACCCCATTAATGGTCAGGAGATTCTGTGCCGCAAGTTTCAGACAGCATGCCAAGCCCGATATCGAGGGCTAACCATGTACTGTACAGACCCCGGCATGACCTAGGGCCACAAATGTAGACAAAAGCCGCCTATCACGAAGTATGTGCACGTGAGGAATTTCCTTGCCAAGTTACCTATCGTGGTAAATCCTGAGGTGGGGGAATTGCCGAAGTATATTCAATGTACTAGGAAAACATGCCATACATGAAGTGGATCCCAGTCAGGGGCTACACATCCTGCATGTCAATTCACGGCGAAGGCCGGCTTCTGCCCGGCATGGGCTTAATACCAACAGATATTGGGCATTCTCACAACTTGAGGAAGGTCAAGCAAGATCCCTTCTGGCGTGAGCTCAATACACCCATCATGGGCAGTAGCCTCAAGATCAACAATGATATATGAAAAAATATGACATTTGATTCTGCCCTTCAACTAGAGGTACACTATAAAAGGTGCTAGCGCATGCTATCTATCGTAATCACGTATATGTACACCAACATGAAAAAGAGGAAACAGGAAGGCGAGGTCTGAAGAAGGAATAAAAAGAAAGGGTGACCAAAAGCAACCACCTAATCTAAAGTCTTAAGGGAGTCCTATCCGAACTCCGGTCCTTATCCCAGTATAACTCCGCAAACGCCCCTCCGCGCTCGAGCAGAACCGCCGGCGGACCTTGCTCTTCGACGCGCCCGGCATCAACGACAATAATCTCATCGAAATCCACAATGGTTTCCAGTCGATGTGCAATGGCGATGACAGTATGATCGGCAAATTCACTCCGGATGAGCGACTGGATGAGGTCATCCGTTTTGGTGTCAATGCTAAAGGACGGTCACGTTAACTATCGTATCAAAAGAAGTGAATACTATGGGATCACTGACCTGCTTGTCGCCTCATCGAGGACGAGAATCTTCCCCTCTGGTCGTACCATCGCGCGGGCGAAGCAGAGGAGTTGCTTCTGACCCGGGGAGAAGGTATCAGGCGTAATTGTAGCATCTAAGCCACCGAGCTCTCGAACCGCATCCCAGAGTTGAACCTTCTTCAAGGCATCAATAATGATGTCGTCATGGATTGCAATGCCAGGATCCACGTTGAGGCGAACGGAACAGCCGGGCAAGAGGAATGGCTCCTGGGGGATACAATTCAGCTGAGCGCGCAGGTGGTTGCGGCCCAGCAGAGAGATGTCTAGCCCGTCAATGTTGATCGTGCCGCTGGTTAGTTCAATGAGGCGGAACAGTGAGGATACTAGCGAAGACTTCCCACTGTGATTTGTTATTAGCTTGGAAGAAAGAAAGGCAGTTTATAAGGAGAGCAAAAGCCGAGAACCAACCTTCCGGAGCGGCCACAGATCCCAACCTTGGTGCCTGGCTTAATTGATAGAGAAATATTATCGAGTGCACGAGTCCAGGAGTTCCTATGACCAACGTCTGTCAGCCGGGGGTACAAACTAAAAAGGATGAGAAGACATAGAATCATACTTGTAGGAAGCCACCACATTGGTGAACTCAATTGCTCCTTGGGCTGGCCAGTCTGGGGGAGGCACCGCTGTCTCGTCTTCCAAGTGCTCCGACTCAATAGTAGACTTGAAGTTCCGAATTCGTGCCACTGCCCCAATGGATGTCTCCAAAACTGTCCATTGTTTGATTAGACCCTGCAAATTCTCGGTAAAGGTAACGATATTCAGTAGTGCCAATCCAATGAAGCTCGCGCTAACTTTCCCTCGCGTGGCGACCGCTATGGATACAAGGACGACGGCAAATCCGGCCACCATCAGGGCAATGACCAGTTCGAGCCAGCGTTGAATGGCGAAAAGCAGATAGAAGGGCTTCTGGGAATCGTTGAGCAATTTACTGTTGCGTCGGCGGTAATGGTGTTCCCACTTGTAGCTCCGGATGGTGGACAGGCCACTCAGACTTTCCAAGAAGTGGGAGACCAGCGGGGCTTTGGCTTCGATATCTAAATATCGGATCTGTCGGGAGGTGCGAAGGTAAAACCGTTGGGTAAAATAAAAGGCGATTATACAAGCTGGGATGGTGGCGGCGATGTAGCCCGTAGCGGTGCAAATCACCACCATTTGGGCAACACAGGTGAAGAAGGTAAGGATAGTATTCAGGACAGAGAGGGGGAGCTCCATGTCGATCAGCTGCAGGTCCTGGCTGAATCTGGGGGAGATGTCAGCAAACATTCCCGTTCACTATGTGAAGCTGCCTTGGCTGATACTCACCGGTTCGTCGTGTTGCCTAGATCGGTGGTCTGGAAAAATGACATCGGGGCACTGAAGGGTTAGCTGAGGGAGGGAAAGACAGGATATTAAGACGGGGGGGCCTACTCTAGAACACTCTTCAGGAGCTCAGCATGCATATTTCGGGCACCACGAGCTACCAAATTCGCCATCAGGTGCCTAGTTGAGGATCAGCATGAGGGAAATGCTAAATATTAGACATCAGTTTCGGATCTGAGAACTCACCAGCAGGAAGTGACAAGTGTAGAAGTGGCCATCACGGCGATAAATGCATAAATCCCGAGCCAATATCCCAGTCTCTCGTTGGGATGATCGACATTTGAACTTGCCCATTTCTCCACCCAGATGGCTAGGTTCGTCAGTAAGCGCTCATTTCACCATTTCGACGACACTCACAAGGATATGTAATGGTAACCACATAGGCCATTATCAAAAGAACAAAAACCGCTGACCGGAACACTCCCAGGACTTGGGCATAATACCAATAGATGGACATATCACCCGTCCGTCGCCCATCCTCCTGCGGTGTTGGTTCTAATTGAACCTCTGGACTCGCCAATGAGAGGCGATGTTGAGAGAGCCGATTTTGGGAGAGGCGGTTTGGCACGAGCTGAGTTTGTCCAAACTGTACCTGTGAAAATTGATCTTGTGAGAACTGTTGAGAAAACCGCTGGGAGAAACGCTGAGAAAATTGCTGGGAGAATTGCTGAGAGAACCTCTGGGAGAACCGCTGCGAGAACCGGTTCTGAGACAGTCGATTCCGGGCCCTGGCCCTTGGGATCGGGATCTCGGGGGCCTCCAGATGGACCGTTGCCTTCCGTTTCGGTAGGACTGCCAGACTACGAATATAACTGTCAGCTCGGGAATGGAGCTCTTTGTATGTTCCTTGTTCCATGATGTTTCCTGATGGGCCCAGGGCGATGATATGGTCCGCAACAGAGAGGCGAGAGGCTGGCATATTGTTAGAATAGGGTGAAGTATACAGGGGATATCGAGCGGATACGTACGACTGTTTGTCGTCATGATCACCGTCGTACCCAGCTTCCGTAAAAGTCCCCCTGGGGCCAACAGCGCATTGAAGACCGCATCCTCCGTCGTGCGGTCCAGTCCGCTGAAGACGTCGTCCAGGATAATAGTCTCTGTTCTGGAGTATACCGCCCGGGCCAGAGCCTTTTGTGATGTGCTGGGTTAGCATAGGACTATGCATGAAAATTACTGGAGATCAAAGTAAATCAAAGGAATCATACCACGCGTTGCTTTTGCCCCCCACTAAGAATAGCGCCTTGGGTCCCTAACATGGTCTTATCCCTATTGGGTTGTTTGCGGATATCGTCATGTAGGGCGCACGCCTCGATCACAGTATTATACCAGCGCAGGTCGAAAAGTGACTCTCCCAAGATATTCTCCTGGATGGTATTGTTTGTTAACCATGGTGTCTGCGAGCAGTACGCAATCGAGTCAGGATCAGCCTTCAACCCTCCCGAAAAGATGGGCGTCTCTCGCAGCAACGCACGCACAAACGTGGACTTCCCAGAGCCGACGGGCCCAACGACAAATGTCACCGTCCCTCGATGAATCTCAAAGGTTAAATCATGTACGACAGCTGGCTTACTCTCTTCCCAGCCAGCGCTGCGGCCCTCTGCCACAAAGACTGGGCCAGTGACTTCGTAGTACAAGGGTAACTTCTCGCGACTGGAGATACTGGGCACTCCTTCCACAACAGACATACCCTTTCCGTCGTAGACGACTCCAATCTCCGTCAGTGCGCTAGACAAAACGCTGGCGGGGATGCTGATGTTGCTCCGAGTCCCTCGGGGCTCATGTGCGTCGTCCCTTCGTGGGTCTGACTGCAAAAACTCGTTCACTCGTTTAATGGAGCCGATTGCGGTGGCGACACCCGTTGCAGCTTCAACCAGGTTAGAGATTGGAGTGGCAAGAAGAGTGAATAAGGTTAGCGATGTGAACGCCTTGGCGGCCGTCAGGGTTTCATCGCCTTTATGACGTGCTATGAGGGCGTAGATGGTGAACGAGGCCAGCGGGGAGAGTGTGACGTTGCTGTAGGCCACACCCACCACCAGGATCAGCAGTCGACGGAATTTTTCGGACTTGATGACTTCTTCAACGCGCATGGTCTGGACGAGGTTGAACAGCTTGTCGGTCAATCCAGCCGTGCGGACTCCTTTTACAGATCCCAAAACCTTTGCCGTAATATCGACACGTTTCTCAATGGCCTCGAGCCAGACCTGCTGGCGAGGGCCGGCCAGTCCGGATATAAGCAACGACAAAGCCATACAAACTACTCGACGTTAGCAATTTGTAAGATAGTAAAAGGAGGGGCATCACATACTAAACACCACGATGATCGGGGCGATACTGGCGACCCCCAGCTGACGCCATAGCAAATAGAGCGCAATAGGAATCTCGACAATACAAGCCCAGGCATCGTGAATGTAGTGTAGGCCGCCTGAAATACGCTCCATATCTGCACTCATTAGCGTAACGGGGGCGCTGGTTTCGACGTCAATGTCACGCATGACCATGACGTGACTGTAGAGCATGTCAACCAGATCTGCCCGTATCATGGAGACCACTCGATATGCCTGATGATGGGCGAAGGCCGTAGAAACCTGGTATTCTCCGTATCAGATCAACATCATGCTACATTTATGGAATGGAAAACCCACCGCAATGCCCGTGTAGACTATTCCAAACGCTCCAATCAGTGCATAACCCTGTGCCTTGGGGTGGGTAATCTCGTTCGAGGCCACCCAGGTCGTGGTTGCTTCGACCAGGAAGGGCTGCGCGAACGTGAAGGCCACCTGTAGTGCTCGAGGGAAGACGCCTAACAGGATTGGAACCAAGTAGTATCGACAACATGCCCACAGCAAACTGTGAGGGGAATTCCGGTTCGGTCCTAGAATTATAACGCTGTCATCAGCCCCGGTTCATTGCACAGAAGTGGAACAAACAAACTTACTCTTTCTCCAGAGCGCATGTAACCCGCTTTCACCATGCCCCGTAGACCGAAGTGAGTCCTCGATTGGGGGAAGCAGCTCAACCGTAAGATCCATGCGATTGCCGAGCATTAAGAGCGGGTTGAGCCAGCAGAAGAGACATTCTCCCAGAATCCCCACGGTCGATTCTGGAGGTGAATCTCTATAGTTTCGTCTTAAAAGGGACCTCTTTGACATGGTTTCAGTAATCAACAACACCACCTTTATGCACAAGGTCACCGTATAGAGAACTGCAATCGATCGGTTCTTCTCCAGAAAGTATAATGTGCGGGTCTCGGCCAATGACATGATCGACGAAAGAAACAGGTAGCCACAGTTGATGGTAGCAGGCCGGATAGTACAGATATGCTCATAGTGCGAAAGAATACCGAAGATGATGGAAGCCAGCCAGGACACGACTGCCGTTGCGACGGTAGCTCGGGTGGTTTTTCCCGACGGCGCTGCCCAGAGGCCGACGAGGGTTAGCTGGAGGACGGCCAACAGAGCATATCCACCCTAGTAACTAAGTCAGTTTTCATACTGTCCTCATGGGCTCTTTCGCTTCGGGCGCATCATACTAGCTTTACGAAATACCGATATCCTCCCTGCACCTTTATCGTCTGTTGTCTCAGGTGGTAAATGCGTGGCAAGGCCCAGAAGAGAAAGAAGAGCGTCACGGGCAGTGTAAGGACTGTCTCTTCGAAGTATAGTGTGAAATCAAAGCCATCTTTGCACTCATGGTTGACAACAGGCCCAAAGGTATCTTCGACAGCAATCGGGCATGCTGCCGCCGCTCTGGAATGGAGCCAGAACGAAGACATTGAGACTGTGAACTAGTAACGTTTGATTGTTTTTTTTCCTTTATGGTCGTATCCTCCACATTATGAGATAGTAAGTAGATCATGGGTGATCAACTTTTGTTCATCAGCATTTGAAACTCGAGGGTTTGACTCGTGGCGGTGCTCGTGGGCCCGAAATGACGGTAGTTCATATGCACGGTGAGCCGCCGAACTTAGGGTTTACGACGCCTCTTCTATTAATGGCACTCTACCAAGATCCCACTCACAATATCACATTATAAACTCATTATCCAGGCGTACATGACATGCAGGCTCATCAAATCTCTACTGATTCCCCTTAGTTCCTGCCAGATCTGCCCCCCACCACCCCCACTCCACCTCTGACGAAAGACTACTTCAGGCTCCTCTGAAACAATTATGCCACGCGATGAAGACCATCTAATGCGGCCAGATGTGCTGCTAGTGCTAGACCACGTTTTTGTTTCACGTCTATGTGTTCCTGCTGATCGTCTTGGCCTCTCACCTTCGGCCCCATTTCCGACCGTCCAATGCCAGCATCAGCGTGAGCGTCAGCATTGGCGTTGACATCAGCATCAGCATCAGCATCATCGCCATCCTCCAACAATTGTAGGAACTGGAGAACCTCCGTTGGTGCTATCGTCTGTCGACCCTTTTTGAAAACATACTTCGAGATAGCCGACGCAAGAACATTTTCCTCCGAACCCGCCATACCGGGCTTCAGGAAATGGCTAACAATGTACAACCATTTGTCATCCCAGCACAGAATTCGTGACTCGACATCATACGGCTGCCAGGGCTTGATCTCTCTTCGGAAGATACACGACACGCCACCGAGAGCAGGCGTGAGATGTTTCAAGCTTCCGGTTTGTTTCTCGTCACTTTTGTGGGCTCTTTCACTGTGGGGCTTTCTCGATGGGGGAGACAATGGTGTAATAACATCCTTGAAGAGTAGCAGTAGTAACTCGATCCGGCTAATATCCAGATCGGCGTAGAATGTGCTGTTAGACTTGTGGAGGTTGAAATCGACTTCCGCCAGAGAGCAATAGGATCGGGTCCGCAAGGGGCGAAAGAGGGTGGATGGACCATCGCCTGAGGAGGATTGATTGCGCTTCCAAACAAGGTGGTTCATGAGGATTGCGATAATTCGGGCCTATTCATTTGTAATCACGCCGTCACAGTTAACCCAATGCTTCATTTGAGGTCAAACACAGCGGGATGTGCAGAGTCTATCACTAACATGCCATAATCCAGGAATAGCTTTGGAGTCGTAGACGAAAAAGAGCAGGAGAACGCCGCCCAACGCGGAAAGGAATTGGTAGGTAGACATGGCAACGGTTGTATATCGAGAATTGTTAGAGAGGAAGGAATTGTCATTAAGATATAAAAAACAAAACGATGGGGGCCACCCGCGATATAAATAAAAGCCCCCACCATTGACTTGAAGGTCTCGGACAGTAAGAATGAAACAGCCCCATCCTTGCCTATTTTAGCACGAGAGCACGGGCCTGAGTTTTTACCGTGACACAATCTAATGCTACGCTGGTGCTGTTTTAGACAGTTCAATGCTGTAGAGGGTATATTGAAGGATGCAGGTCTATCGGTACAAAACAACAAATCATGGGTACAAAAAAAACATCAAAACACCTTCATCGACTGAATAACAGACTCAATCTTCTCCATTCCACAATTTCCAGCAGTGCTCATATAGGTTTCCCACTATTGACTACATTAGCATTGCTCTAACAACCTTGAGCGATATCGAACGGTAACTCACCTCGTTCAAGACTCCCATCAGAGCAGCAGACCCAGTCAAATCTCGGACCATCTCGAAATACTCTTTCGTCAATTGGAACGGCCGCGCCGTCAGATTAGGAACGTACTTTCCGACCAATCGCTTCGGGTCCAGCGCATGACGGTCGATCAAGTCCAGCAAGCAGCGTCGGAAGCCAGGCACACCGGGCAGGAGATGCGAGGAATGGAATGGAATGTCGATACCCTTGAGAGGGATTGTCGCACAGCCTCGCGTGAGGGCTGTACTGGCTTGGGTAGTAGCAACTTGTGATTTTACTAGCGAGGTTAGCTGGTCGGGAGACAGGACGTTCGAAGGGAGAAGAGAGGCAGCGGTCGCGTTGATATGATCGAGGACCGATTTGAGACACTGGAGAGGTTGGGTCTGAGGAGAGTTAGCGAGTGAGCAAGAGAGAATAAGAGTAAGTGAAAGGCTTGCCTGTCCAGCGCACACATATTGCAACCCTGCAACGTTGAAGTTGACAATCTGCAGCAACTGTCCCGTCTCGGCTGCAATGGTTTCCACCACCAGCTGCAGCGCTGCTTGATCGAAGCCTAGAGAGTCCATGTGAGTAATGACTGAATCCAACCTGCCAGGTGCATCAGGACAACTAAACCTACCCGCACAGACCCGGCTTGGATCAACCGCGCACATCCGGAAGTCGGATTGCCCTCGGCCATCGCGCTCCACGGCGAACTGCATCAACAATCCGCGATAGAATACCACTTGCACCAGGCTCTCCACACTGAAGATCTTCCCGACCGCACCGAGGGCTGCATACTCGCCCAGCGAGTGACCGGCGTACGAGCTCCGCTCCGAGATTAATCCTCTCGCCTGGAGATCTGCAAAGATCGCCAGCTCCATCAGCGTCAAAGCTGGCTGGGTGAACTGCGTAGCCGACAACAGCCCCTGGGGTGCATGGTACGTGTAGAACTCAGTGTCCTCGTCGATCTCGGGGAACAACGGGAGAAGTTGGACGTTTCCATCGGTGCCGACGGATTCTCGCTTCATGCTCATGTATTTCTCGCGGATGTGCCGACCTTGCGGGCCTCCGAAGTACACGGTGAGCTCCTTTGGGTCATTGCGGACAATATCGGTTATGCGGAAACCTGAGTATCGTTTAGTGAAAGCTCTAACCAACCAAGAATTCTTAAGGCAGGGAAGATAATCAATTGTAACCCACCGTAATTATCGGAGAAGTAGGTATCAGCGTAATCCCACACTTGCCGTGCAGCCTCGCTCTGAGTATACAGCTGCATTCCCATCCCCTTCTGCTGACTTCCCTGGCCCGTGAACAACAGCGCCGTCTCCTCCGGTTCCACTTCGGCCTCCCCACGCAGCACGGTCTCTCCACGCTGGACATGCTTCGCCTCGACGGAGATGATCTTGCGGCCCGCCAGCATACCTACGTGCTGGAAGATAACCTCAATTTCATCCCCAGGGAGCACCATACTGGTGAACGAGCAGTTGAAGCTACGGAACGCACCAATGGCCGACGCGCAAGTATAATGCTCGACGAGACCACGGACACGTGCCGACGTGTACATGCCGTGCGTGATGAGCCCCGGTAGATCAGCATACCGAGATAAGGAGGACGAGACGTGGATGGGATTGAAATCCCAGGAGACATGGGCATAGGCCTCATTCGAGTCCGGCATTCTCATCATGAGTGACGACCCATCGCCGGTGAGTGGCATAGGGTTGTTAAACATGTGCCGTTTCTTGACTGGGCTGCCATGGCGCTGTAAGTAGTCCATGACTGGGTTGCCGCGACAGGTGGCGGCGTAGAAGGCTACTGTGGCAACAGAGCTAGACCGACCAGGCAGTGAGGACTTCAGACGCACATCACCAACGGTGGTAACGGCCTTGAACGTGTCCCTGCTGGCGTATTGATAGGTCGACTGCAGTACGAAGATTAGCGTCTGGTCCTGCAGATCTAGGTCAGCATCCCGTGGCTTGAACCACGGTTTGGACTTCAGCAGGGCCACCTCCATCGGTCCGCTGAGGCACAATTCCATTTCTTCTTCATCGACCTTACGGAAGGTATTTTCCCAGTCCGTGTGCGTGCCGCGGTACAGAAATTGGCTGGTCAACTCGAGGACGACCTTCCCTTCCTGGTAGACATCACCGCGCACTTCCACAAGCTTACCAGCATCTTCGATCGTAATTGCCTGAATGCGAGACTTGGTCTCAAGGACAGCGCCCTCCTGGATCGGCTGCGCGTCTGGCGGGATGCGGAACCCGTTAGTGAGATGCACCAGGGTCAAGAGATCTACGTCCAGCTCGTGCGAGAAGAGTGGTTTCATCAGTGCCTCCCAGCCTACGACAACGCCAAAGTCAAGCGGTGCGTACAGGGTCTTTCCACGACGCTTGCTGGATGCATCACTCGCGTTCTGCACACAGTGCGCAAACTCTGCAATCGAATCCGCCGTGACTTCGAGGCCATTCTCGCAGAATGTATCGTGCACGGATGTCCACTTCTTCGGCTGCGAGCTGGTGAACCACACACGATAGTAAAACTCCTTGACCCGCTCATTGCGACCCTCCATGATCTCATGGATGGGTGCGTACACCGCATCGCGCCGGTACTGGTACATCAGCCGCAGGCCGATAGCCGCACCACCAGCGTTACGGTAGTTGATGATCTCCAGCGTGATGGACCCAGATTCGTCAGCCCGGATATCGACAACCTTCACCGGTTCAGAATGTGGGCGGTATTCGAACAACGAAACAGTTGTGTCGGACCGGTGACCGGTCTGGACCATCACATAGGAATCGCGCGTCGGCTGGAAGAGTCGGCGGAGTGGGTTCTCAGAAATCGCCCGGCCCTGCACAATCGTGGGAGCATTGAAGAAGGCCTGGCGCCAGCCACCCTGCGTCCCACCTAGCGCAGCTAACCACTGGTCCAGCGATGGCATCGGGGTATTCATCTCAGGAGATACCTCGTATAGAAGCGACCCAGTGTTACCAACGGGGACGCAGTGGATACCAGCCTGCGCCATGCTCCACTCACTGACGACGGGGTAGGGCCCAAAGCAATGAACAATGGGGATCCCATCCTCAAAGTAGTCAGGGTCCCGCATCTCCAAACGCTCAATATGCCCCTCATGGATGGTATCCAGGATCTTGCGCGCTGGCTCATCGACTGCATTTGAGTGACGCGCTGCGACTGGTCCGTGCAGAATACACACACGCTCAACGTCACCATCGACAACGGCGTTGAGGTCCTCCGACTGCCACAGCGAGTCCTTCTTGAAGTACTCCTCGAAGTTTTCGTCCAGCACGGGCACGAACGGGACCGGCTTCTGCCCGCGTCGTCGGCACAAATGCAGGAAATACTGGGCATCCTGTGTACCCATGAGCTGGTCAGCGGCGTAGGGATTCTGCTCGAGGAATTTGTCAATAGCTGGTTGGGGGTCGTGAAGGTCGTCCACGCTGGCGACCACAGAAGAGGTAATCTCCATGTCGTCACCCTCCTTCTCTTCCTCTCTCTCGTGACCGATTCGTGCTTCTACGCGCAAGAGGAAATCGAACAGAAACTGCTGGAATGAAGGGTCAATCCAACGGCCTTCGAGTTTAACGTACGTCAACTCAACCAGCCGCGAGATGACCTCCGCATAGGTCATCTCCTCCAGATCCACCACATTCCCTAGCTCGTCGCGTCCAAACCAGACTTTGTGGGAGTCGGCATTCAGTCGGCGGATTATGTAGTCCCGCTGCTTCTGCAGCTGAGTGAGACGCTGTGCGCGATCGAGTTTGAAGATTGTCCGGTCCAATTCCGCCCAGAGGCGCACCCCACGCGTCGCCAATTTGTGGATGGGCTCTCCCATCTCGGAGGTCACCGTCATAATTCCTCCTGCCGGCTGTGTGTAGGTCTGTTCCCAGTCGGCCTCGTCAGCCACACCCGGTGCCGCAACAATCGCTTGCTTCACCGCTGGGCTGGTATGAGCCTCCTTGGCGGTCATCAAGCGGCTACCCAGCAGAATGCCGTCAAAGGGCATGAGTGGCCGGTTGTAGCGTTGCGCCCACTCACCGGTGAGGTAGGGGAAGGTGTCATCGGCCCCTCCGAAGCCACTGCCTGCCACCAGGATCAGGTTCGAGCAGCTACGTACTGCACCATAAGCCTGGAGGATTGGCTGGTGGAAGTCTTCGAAAGAGTGGTGGCCACCCCCGCGACCGCCAGTCCATTGGAGGATTACTGGGAAGTTGGGATGGGCACGCGCGATTGCAATGACCTGGTGAATCGCCGGGAGCGACCCTGGTTTGAAGCTGATATGGCGCAACCCAAGATCGCGGATGTAACTTGTAGCGACTTCCAGCGAGGGAACGCCAGCGCCTACCGTAAGACCCTCGATCGGTACTCCCGACGCCCGAAGACGTGTGAGTAACGGAACCTGCCAGCGTACTGCCTTGGGGGCAGCATAAATCATGTTGACAGTAATTCCGCGACCCGGAGGAATCTCTCGCAATAGACGCTGAATGGCCGTTTCAAGCTGGTCCGGGCGATGATAACCTCCCAACGCCAGTTCGACATGATAACCAGCCTTCATCACCGCTGCACAGAAGTCCCAGGCCGCTGTGGTCGGGGTCATACCCGCCACAATAACCGGTGGGAGTCCTAGCAGGCGACTCAGCTTGGTGTCGACCATGGGGCGGCTCCCAGACACTTGAACCAGCCGTGGCTGGTATTGTTCGCTCCAAATCTGACCGTACGCCAGACCGGGGGAAGGACTCCAGTCGAAGATCTCGCTGCGATAGCCCATGTCTGTGTTGGTGCCCTCCGCGACCGTGGCCAGGATGGTTCGGACTCCTGTGCCATCCTTGAGTCGATTGGTCAACGCACCAATACCGGATACGCCTCCCGGGCCGAAGTCGATGATGTGCGTGGCGCCAGGCAACTTGGTGGCTTCGGTCCAAACAAGTTCCTGGGAAGTGATCATTGCCACCAGGTCGGGAACAATATTCTGACTCCCGAATGCCCGCAAGTCACTACCCGTGCGCGTACAAAACACGGGAATGCGAAGGTCGTCGCCCATGATGGTCAAGTCGGGGACACTGGCGAGAACCGCGTCGGAGACATCGGCCAGGTAACTGCTATGGAAGGCGGCGGTGATGGGGAGGAATCGGTTACTGATCTCGGGTTTCCGCTTGCTGAAAGGAATGCGGTGCTGGGTGCCCTTCGCAGGCGCCTTGACACCACGCAACCAGACGTTGAAGCCATGCAGGGACAACGGGGGACCTGCCAGCACGGCGCTCTGTGGTCCATTGATCAGAGCAATGGCAATGCGGGCGTCCTCCGAGAGGTGTGCATTGACGGCGTCGACGTATTTTTGGAGTTGTTCAAGAGGGCAGTCCGTCACACTGAGCATGGGTCCCGGAAAGCCCTCGCCATGAGCCTCCGCATCGGCCACAATGACTGGTGGCAGCTCGGCTACTGCAAAGTGGTCTTGGCTGTAGGCTCCAATGGCCAACAGGAGGCGCAAGGCATCCAGGGCAAGGTTGTCAAACTGGGTCCATGACTGGGCCACGGCTGTAACCGTTGCGGTCACAATGCCCTGCGAGTGGCCAGTGGTACCCGCGAGTGCAGCCTGGATCTGTGCTGGAGTGGACCCCAGAACACGCCCAATCACGCGATACCAAGCCAGTTGGAGAAGGCCGATAAGCGGCATACTAAGTGGGGCGGAGATCAAGTAGGCTGAGTCTGGGGCCCGCTCGGAATGCTCCAGCCAAGTGATAATATCCAGACCCTGGTGATAGAAGCGGCTGAAGCGGTCGTCGAGGGACTGGCGCTGCAGCATGCTGGATGCGGAGACAACCAAGTCACGCACTAGTGGTCGGTAGGTATTGTATACCATGCGCAGCTCGTCGAAATAATTCTCATCGTTACCCTGGCCACCAAACACGGTGTACAAGTGCGCTTTTCGGTCCAACGCAGCCGTCATAAGCGCCGACGGCGGGTGGGATGGCCGACTGATCTTTCTCAAAGCATGACGCGCCTGAACATAGGCCGCTAAAATGGTTGACTTCACATCGGTGCTTGCGTCCAGCTCCTTCACCACTCCATGCACTTCCCGATTCCACAGGATGTCTCTCTCGAAGGTGTCCATCGCCGTGGCGAGGAGCACCCGCAAGTCATCCTCCTTCAACCCACGGCGCTCCCGCTCCAGGCGGCGCACAGTAAAGCTGAGGAATCGAGCCCAAAGCTCGACCAGCGAGGACAATTCCTCATCACCCGGAGTCTTGCTCAGGTCATGGAGGAAGTCGTCGCGCAGCTGCAGAGCCGTGGGGTAAGAGCCGCTAGCGACGGTGAGGGAATGCTCAAAGGCATGATAGGTAATGGTAAGGGTCTGACACGCATGGGAAGAAGTGGAGGAGGTGGAGAGAAGTTCGGGAGTGGCCCATCCAGAGCCCAAGGCAAAAGAGGCCGCGGAACCAGCGCTGGCCAAGGAAGGGGAACGGGAAGCGGGCGAGGCGTTAATCGTAGAGAACATTGTGGCGGTAAATCGTAGTATAGTGGATTAAGTCGGTTGGGTCTTCGTGCTTTTTTCTTCTTTGTTTAGTATGGATCTGATCTTCTTTGTGTCTGCAAGGCTAATTTCCGGTTCTCTTTGTTTTTGAAGATATTCGCAAGATATTTAATCGAAACGGGTCGCGCTTTCGAACCCGAATCGGGAAGTCAGCCCTAAGCGTCTCACTTCGCATACGCGCTAACATGCAGCGTGGGCTCAGCCTGCAGCCCTCGAGCCTCACATCCCAGTCTAGTTTCCCCCCCAAACTAGAATCTGACGTGTGTTGGCTCTCTAAAAATATGATGGGCTAATTGGTTTAGGCACCGTCATTCTGTCGATCATGGGTGAGCGCCCTAGTTTAAGAATGGCAGCATGTAATCGCTCGTTTTCTTTCTTTGCATCTCATCAACTTCTTCTCTCCTCCCCCTCTTCTCTCTCTCTCTTTCCCTTCCTTACACATTCTTCTCAGTTTGATTACACTGGAAACCCTTTGCTGCCAGACACTGGTTGTCAATTAGCATCATGGGTTTAACACCGAAGTGCGGTATGTTCCCTCTAATTTCTCTAGTGCCATTTATCTGTTTTATTTTCCGCGTTTAATCCCAATTCCCCGCCTTCCCACGTTCTTTAATTCCCCGATCCCACATCTCTATTGACACTACAATATTCCTTCCCTCCCTACAATTGCTATTTTTCCAGCATTATTAGAATTAATTTTTTCCCAATCTCATGAGCAACGCAGAACTGACGAATTAATACAGATCTCACCAATGAGAATGCGCAGTATCCCTACTGTGCCAGTCCCCCCGCCGCCATCATCTTCTCCGTCCTCTTTGGAGTGACATTCGTGGGCCACTTTGCGCTGGCCATTCTCTACCGTAAGAAATTCTGCTGGGTGATTATCGTCGGCAGTGGTTGGGAATGTCTGGGTTTGATCATGCGCGCCTACTCGACGCTGGACCAAACCAAGTCGTCTACCCTCGCTGCTGCACAATTGCTCGTCTTGCTCGCCCCGCTGTGGATTAACGCATTCGTGTACATGATTTTCGGCCGGATGGTCTACTATTACGCCCCAAACAAGAAGATCAAGGGCATCAAAGCCGAGAGCATGGCCAAGATATTCATCTGGCTCGATATAACGTGAGCGCCCTTTCCACGTTTCTCCGCGACATCCTGTCGATTCCGGAGGACACTGACCATGGTCTAGCGCCTTTATTATCCAAGGTACCGGTGGTATTCTGGACTCCGACGGCTTCGGCGAGAAGTTGAATCGAACCGGCATGAACATTTACACGGCCGGTATCGCCATCCAGGAGTTCTTCATCCTCTGTTTCTGTGCTCTGTTGATCGTGTTCCATAAGCGCATGCTGTCGGGATACCGTAATATCGAGCGCGGAAATGGATGGAAACTGATGGTGTATGGCATGTATGTGACATTGCTATGCTTGACGGTACGTGCCCCTTTTTTTTTTCTTTTTTTGCCCTGACCCCTTCATCACCATGATGCTGACAAAAGCGATGACGTAGACTCGTATCGTCTACCGTCTTATCGAGTTTGCCAACCCGAACCAGGCGGGTAAGACCGTGTTGAGCACCAAGGAGGCCCCGTTTTACATCCTTGAATGTGTCCCCATCTTCATCGGCATGATGCTCTGGAATGTCTTGCACCCGGGCCGGATGATGCCGGGTCCCGATAGCGAGTTCCCCAAGCTGTCGCGCTCGGAGAAGAAGCAGATGAAGCGGGAGGCGAAAGAGGCGAAGAAGCAGGAGAAACGAGTGGGTTTTAGTCAGAAGTATACCGCTGTCAACGACTCGGAATACACACTTACGCGCCCCAGTGGTGAGGAGCATGAGGCTGGCTACGGCGGTGGACGTTGGCCCTTGAACGAGGTGGAGTCGGGACGAGGAGGTTATGGTGGTCGTGAGTATGGATATGTTCGTTGAAGATGGGTTAGGATTGGAATGAGGCTGCGTGGTATGGGGAAAAAGGCTGGACCTGGCTGTTTTTTGAAGTATTTTCCTTTTTATTTTTATTTATTGTTCCTTTCCTTTGTCTTTAGAACTTCAAATCTCTATTATGTTGTGCACTAGTTGATGGATATCAACATATATCTGGGTTACATATATACACCATGGATAACGAATGTGATGCTTCTATAAAGATCAAGAACAACTCCAGATAAAATTCCTCAGAAACACTTGCCTCCGGCGCCAGTGCATAGGATATAAAGGTAAAAAAGAAAAGAGAGAGAGAGAAAGAGCAAAGAAAGAAAAAAAAAAGTAAAAAAAGAAGGGTAAAAAGTAAAAATAGAAGAAAAAAAGAACGACATAAGCCAAACTAATCAATCAAGGGGATATCACTAGAGAAGAAGAGAGAGAGAGAGATTACATGTTCTTGCCGAGACATGCAGTATGCAAGGGCGTCTGCCCCTCGAGATCGCGGATCTCCAACTGGGCCCCGGCTTGCACCAGCATTTCAACCAGGTCACGCCGATTTCCCTCACAGGCAAGATGCAAGGCTGTCCGGCCCAGCCAGTCCTGCGCGTCCACCTGAAGAGCGTGGCGACGCGTCGGACAGAGCAACACTTGCACCACCTCTGGCCGGTGATGCTTCACAGCCAGGTGAAGCGCCGTTTCACCCTCCCGCGTCGTCACATTAATATTGACGCCACTGCCGGTCGGCGAATCCAACAGTAGCGTCACCAAGCGGGCGTGTCCCTCCATCGCCGCGAGATGTAAAGGTGTCAACCCGGCGCTATCGGCGATCGAAGCATCCGCGCCTGCACTGATCAACACTCCGAGAACAGACTCGTGCCCATACAGTGCCGCCCGGTGAAGGGCGGTGTTGGCGAGTGAAGACTCTCCCGTGGGTGTGGAATGTGATGGGACGGATTCAACAACCGTTGGAGGGCTGGGATTCGGTGTTATACTAGGAGTGGGGGCGTGAATTGGCTGGGAGGCTTTAACCGTGCCTGCAGCCGAGACGGGGACGGCAGAGGCGTGGGAATTTGAGAGATGGCCATTGCTGGTGTTTGCCAGCGCGTAGGCTTCCTCGATGGGGTTGTAAGAAGGCCCCCGGCCGGCCATCGTCGGTCGCTGGGAACCATCGAGGGACGGCGGAGTCCACGACTCGGAGAAGGACAGCCCGTCCAGAGGAGGAGAAAAGAGCTGAAAGTCCGGAGGAGTTTGAACTTTCACCGGGGTCTGGAATGGAGGTAAGGCTTGTTGCTGCGGTTGCTGTTGCTTCTGCTGCTGCTGCTTTTCCTCTTCCTTAGGGGCGTTGGCGGCTGCCTCTTTGGCACTTTCCAGCTTTTCCTTCTTCAATCCTACATGGCATGGTTAACGGAATCAAGACATCCCCTTCTTCGTCCAGTAACTTACTCTTACGATATCCCCTCTGGGCAATCCGATTTTGAGCCCTTCGCCGCTCCACCCGATCATCGATATTCGCCCAGTTCTCGCCGACGACCTGCACGGAACTATCACCCACCACAGCTGATCAGCAAAGGAAGAGAGAGAAAAGGTGTGTGAAAATCGTATACGTACGTGATCATCGCGCAGTTAGGGTCAACTGACATTCTCATCGCGATACAGTAGGAGATGAGCGATCCGTTCTCATCACCGGGGGCCATCGCCCGCCCCTGGGCCCTCTACATATATGTACGGAAAAGACATCACGCCGTCATCTTCATTACATGCAGTACAGATCTCTGCCCCCAACATTGCTCGGACTCGGTGGATTAGTATCCTAGCGTATGTTCATCTTACGAAAGAAATTACTGAGGAAAGTCAATTTAGGGCACCGGCCACATGGTCGCCACATGGGGAGGTCCATAATAAGGAAGATCATTTCCTACTTTCACTAAATGAACCGATGTACCAAAGTATGGCAGAGACGAACTAAGTCGAAGGACACCAATGGGACAATATTTGGCTGAGTCGCAGTTGAATTCCCAAATCCTGTGAGTCTGAACTGCCTCGTTTAGGAAGGGGCCGTTGGCTTACGGTGGAGTTGTGTTGGTAATATTATTCGATGAGATCATCCGAGGACATTTAGATTTGCACTTTTATTTTTTCTTGAACTTTTGCCTCTCTTCAGGTAGATAGAATCAGAGACTGAGGTTGATCATATACGAGAAGTATGTATGTTGGTTGACACAGCGAAATGCCTGTCTGTAATAAGAGACCAAACAAAACCCCGGACTCTATCACAAACAAGAACATGGGGTACATAAAAGCACTATGGAATTGTAAAGAACGAACGCCACTGAAGATCGGAACTAGTGTAGGAGCTCTAAAAAAAGAACGGTATAGAGTTAGAGAAGTCAGCAGTCATGGAATCCCAAGTATGGAACGATGCCATAGTCAAACAGTGTCAAAATACGGCACAGCGAACCATGACGCACGAAATTGTCGGTCCGTTTGTTTCAGATATAAACCCGAGAAATTAGAGTAAGAGAATAACCTGTCAAGGCGTCGCAAGAAAAGGCCTTGTGACACGGTGGGAGGGGGATGTGCGATGGCTACTGGCCGTGTCAAGGTGACTCGGGCTCTGGGGCTTGACCGTAGTTTGGATATGAAACAAGGAACTTACTCTTCTGGGTTAACAGTAGCAATGCCCAGTACCTAGATGCATACCTCCGCATCCCTACGAGCCAATCGAGCAAGGAGACCTTATGGTCCACGTAGCAGCCAGAGTGCCCGACCAGTCCTGTTTCCTTGTTGAACACACCCAAAAATAGAGTCACTCAAGGAGAAATTCCCGAAGAGTCAGCACTAAGGGTTCAGGTACCGAGCTAAGGATCGGGATCCATACCAAGCCCCTCTTAACAGAAGCACTATAGTTGGTGGCTTGGCATTCTTGTCTGGTGGATCTTCCGAGATTAGGATTGCATGATATCACCCTCGTTTTTCCCAGCTGCCTGACTCAGAAGGCCATCATTCCAACACGACCGGACTAGAAGCTGGCTGTCGCAAGACGTAGGTTTATACTTGGATTAAAATTAAGCACGACGACAACCCACCCAGCGGATTAGGAAAAGTACACCTACACGAGATCATCCCTTCTTACTGTCAGCATGGATCTCACTCGGTACTCGCTAAACCCGATCTGATAGGCACCCCCAACGTACCAACTCCGCCTCCCATGATTGACTGATCACCAAAGTTCTTCCCGCTTCGCAAGGCAGAAATCTGGCAGAAACAAGGCAGAAACGGGAACGATACCTGATCTTAGGGTTCCACTGGGCACGGGCCTCTCACTAAAAGCAGTCCCTGCTCGATTCGCCTCGTCCTTCTCCTCTCGCGGTGGGAACTGTAAAGAGGCACGACCCCGGTAGAGAACTATTAATTAGTTCAGAAATAGCACGGGCCGGATAATAAATCCCGCAAATATACGGTGAAGTAGAGAGAAACGAGCAATTTTATATACCATTGCACACCAGTCATTTTTCTTACTCTACGAGGATCAGTAAATATAGATTTAAGATCTAGTATGTACGGAGTAGTAAACTTTAGATTAGACCCCTACTTTTCTCTCGTGATATATTTAGATTGTAGTGAACGTTTCATGTCTTAAATATATTTTTTAGAACTCCGTCTACCTAGCAAACAATACATTCTAAGCAATGGACCAACCTTAGACCCCAACCACGTTTACTCTTCTTGGAAGTAAGGCATCGTTACTCGGTGGAATTAGTAGACTGGTGGTATGAAACCCACAGTAAGGTAGCGTAGCCCTATTGAAATTAAAAGTGAATTTTGCTAAAAAAAAAAAACAAAAGTATCCTTAGGAATATAAAAATAAATGAATAAATTTACAATTTTGAATAAACACTAGATAACAACGGCCATGTCAGGTGATTAGTATACTACATCTTAGCACCAGATACACCGGTAACAATCGAATAGCCTACTAAAACCAGCTCATTACATGTACATGGAGAGAAATGGCACTACGTTAATGGAGCATTGCACGAGTTGAAATGAAAAGAAATCTATTGTCTAGCCTTTCCAGAAGGTCATGGGAATCACAAAGTAGATAGAGAAAAGTACACGAAACAGAACACAAACATAGAGACAAATGAGATAATTACAAAAGAAGAGACAAAATCAGACAGAGAGATAAAAGCTTTTAGTGCAACAGGAAGACAAGGAAAGCAACCATTACATCGTTCAAAGAGCGTGAGTGTGTAGGAGATTCACCATCTGTTCCATCGAGGAATGATGAAGGAGGTCCTCCAGGCGAAGCTGAGGTGCGTGCTCTTGCAATCGCAGCAGCACTTGTGACAAACCCATAAGTTCACCGCCCACTGCAAAATAACATTCTGTTGGAGACACGACTGACTTATTTGTCGATGGCAGAGTATCTGTCCACGCTTGGTGCACGGCCTCTCGTAAAGCAGCTACCTTGGGCTCTGAATAGTCCGCAGGCGGCGGGGCAATAACGACATCTGGTACGGAGGATTCCCTAACCATGGGAATCAAAGGCCGACCGGCTTGAAGTTCCTCCAACGATGGCAAGAAGGTAGTGGAGGGGCTTGACGAGAAGGAGCGGATTGTCAAGCAGAGTTGGTCAAGCAAGTCCTCCGCCTGGATTGCGGACATGACTGATGTCGCTGTTATGAGGTCGATGTCAACGTGATCACCTGCAGGGGTTGACAGGATCGATACATCCATAAGGTCTAGTTCCGAGCCGATGAAGCCCGGCTCATAGGAGCCATCACCCATCATCATGGCCCGGTCCGGCTCAATATTTTGGTGCTGGATGACACTGCTGAAGCGCATCCACCGCGGCCAATCAGTGCATTGCTCGACGATTGCGCGGAATCCGAGCGACTCAAATGGCATGTTGGCCACCTGCTGGTTCTGGATAGTGCGAAGAAGGTCCATTACAGTCCAGTGGTCCTGGAACTGAGCGCGGACGGGGACCACATTAAGACACGGACCGACAATCTGGTCGATGTTGTCTATTGCCAAGTTGCGGCCCGAGATGGTGTGGCCGAATACAACGTCCGGCCGAGCTGCCATGCGAGCCAGGACTAGGGCCCAGGCGGACTTTGCGACGGTCGCAAAGGTGATGCCCTCGCTCGTGAGTTTCGTATTCGGTACCCGGCGTCGGACGGTGATAACCTCATCAGAGACGTCTCGAAGGCCCGGCTTGTGGCGTTC